TAAATGACCAAATGCCCAATCCTAAATACCTATCCTAAAAACCAAATGCCCAATCCTAAATACCAAATGCTCAATCCTAAATTTGAGATCTGTTGGCAGCCCTGTTTGATGGTAAAGAAAGTTTGACGGTAACTTACAACGTGGTTGTTGGGTAGTTTTACTTACCGTCAAACTTTCTGGGGAACCAACTGTCAGTGTTGTAGTACTCGAGACTCGGACTCGTCTCGGACTCGGTCTCGAGACCATATTTTAATGGTCTTGGTCTTGTCATGGACTCGTGTCCATTTGGACTCGGAATTGACTCGTACTCGAACATTTGTTTTTTTAGGACTCGGAATTATTCCCGAGTCCACTCGAGTTCAAATAAAAATATTTTTCATGATTATTAATGTATGTTAATAAAATATTTCTTTAAATTGATTGATACGCCCAGCAATTGGTGATTTTCTAGTGCGCAACTGTGCATGACAAATTGTAATAAAATTACTTTTAACACCACCTACTATGTGGCCTTTTTACCCTAAACTGATCATATTTTTTAAACTCTAAGTAAATTCAGTGAAAATAAAGGATTTCTCTAAGTAAATAAAAGTAAATTAGCTAATCAACCCTCAGTGGTCTCGGTCTCGACTCGGACTCGACTGTCTCTGGTATCGGACTCGACTCGGACTCGACTCTCTATGGACTCGGTCTTGACTCGGACTCGACTCTCTCTGGTCTCGGTTTCGACTCGGACTCGAGTGAGGTGGTCTCGACTACAACACTGCCAACTGTGTACTGACCCGTATCTGTTAATGACAGATATTTCACTATCCCTATTTCGTGCTGTGTCCAATTTTTGAAACATTCGCATGTGAAGTGACGAGCTTTAGGGAGTGTTTAGGGAGAGCCACAAGGCCCACAACCAAAAACCGCCACAACCCCGTGTCATGCTTTGTTTTTCGCGCGCTCGCTCGTCAGAACTGACGTCATCAGAGCACCAGAGAGGAAGTGCATTTTCAGATTTTGATTAAAGATTGCAAAACAAACAATATGTCGGTTGACTTGCATGGTCGATCACTACAAAATTAGTAATGTGGGCGGCTAACAAAGTAAATAATATAGTCAATTTTGATTTAAATAAAAAAAGATGAATATATATATTTTTTAACATTTAGCACCACACACAAAATAAAATAGTTGACAAAAACTTTTAAATATTCTCTTAATTTAAAAGACAATTATATTATAAGTATTTCGATTAAATAAAAGTAGGCCTATAAATAATGTGACTTAAAAAAGATCAAAAGATCATAGTATTTTAAACTCGCAATCTACTCACTTCAAAAAGGACACTCAAAAGGTACCTACAAACTGAAACATAAGGTGCACTATAATAATCATTGTGAATTGTATAATGTCGACTCTACTGTGTGTGAGTAAAAGAGAACGAAAAAGAAAGAGTGAGTCACTAAGAAAATTGCCTAACCAAAAGATCCTTACCATGTTAATGTTTAATAGAGAGGTGCTAATAATATAATTTCTAACGCTTAGACATAGACGGTTACATACAAGTCGTTTACCCACATCTAAACGATCCCAACAAGATCACGGACTTTTAATTTGAAAAATTGACAAATAATTTTTATTCTTCGTAACAAATTGGACTTTTATTCTGAAAGACGTTCAATGGCTGCTGTGATAGTGTGTACACATGGATAACACTGTCTATGATAACACACCGGTATCGCTATATTTACCTGGAGGATTTTCATAAGTTTTGAAATATTTAACATCCAACTGTGATTTGAAGCACTTTCTAACTTCCAAACGCGGATTCTCAGAAGGTAAAGCGAGTTTAAAAGACAGATTGAGTTGAGCACGCGACAGGATCTAAGTTAATGTCACTGTGCTAGCGATTGAAGGTCATAATTAGAAGAGCATAATGAACACATTTATCACACAATCATTGATGTAGATGTCATGCTTGAGAGTAAATCTGCGTTATTAATGGTTTTGCAGCATGTCTTTGTTTGGAGGACTGTTGAGTCGCGCGGGGACTTTCTGCGCGAGACACTTCAGCACAGGTGTGTGTGTGTGTGTGTGTGTGTGTGGATTCTTCATTCACTATTTATATCTGATTGATTGTGCATATTGTCCTCTTGTTTCATATGAGTTGCATGTCCGGTATCACACAGGTACTTGTGCTAGAATACGAATGCACGCCATTCCCAAACTGAAAGAGGTGGATCGATGGACGGAGAAGAGAAGCATGTTTGGAGTTTATGACAACATTGGGATATTGGGTGAGTGACTTATGTACACATATACAGTTCACCCTTAATTTATTGCTATTTGTTAAACTTTGCTCTTCTTTGTATTTCTTTAAGAAGTGTGTATACAGAACTAACGTTACTGTATAAATGTGGTGTAGGAACACTAGAATTCACGTATATTAATGTCCTAATGTCTCAGTAGTACATACAATATTTAGTGTAATACAATTTAATTTTTAATTAACTTTTTTTATTATATACATGTACCAAAATAACAATGCATAGCAAAACAAATTTTTACATATTATTTTATATTTACCTTCTCAATAAGTGTAAAATACCACACAAGAAGTTATGTAAACTAGGAATGATGCAAATAAATCGTTGTATTCTAAACTGATTAGATTTGACTCATAAACATGATTGGCTTTTCCAATCGCTCTAATGAGTCTCATTTTGCTATCAAGGTTCAAACCTGAGATGCAATTCAAAAAATATTCGTCTTAATATTTTAACTCGGTTGTGAAAAGGATTGCACCCAAAACTGGTCAACCAGGATGGAAAAACATAACGCATGGACAAATATTGCATTATAATCATCATAATGTTCTAATAACGATTTTTCTAATTCTTCAATGTATAACAAATTGTACAGGCCAGGGGTCAAATATGATCATCCTCACATGAGGGACCCCATCCTAAAATTTAAAAGGCAGCTAATTTTCATGTATGGAGACAAAAATTACGCTGTGAAAATGAATATTATAAATGTGTAAAAAAGACAAGTGCGTCTATTGTAACATTAAATATTTCCTACTCACTATTAATAATAAATAGCTGATGAATGTATTTAGATGTATTGATTTATTTATCTTAATGTTTCATTTTATTCAGTGTATTTATTTTAGTTTTAATTACATTGACCTATTATTGGATTATTTGACATAGGCCCAAAGGTTTGTATATTAAAGCATCCTGCAAGGAATAGTATGCTAGCTGTATCCATTTACATCCAGTCTTTGTGCTAAGCTAGGGTGCGTCAGACAGAATTACAGCACGGACGATAACCGGTTTCGCGATAAACCACGATAAAATATACTGACGGTTAGTATTACCGTTTAAAATGTAATTATCATTAAAACCGTGTTTGATTATCGCGATTAATAACTCGCTGTAAATCCTGTCGGCCAGTCTCGCGCTGCACGCAATGTTTACTATTCGAGAAGGAATGGCGGAAGGCAGTGACCGTGCTTGGGAGATTCAGCCTTTTAAGAGGACCAAATCTGAAGTGTGGTCATAGTTAGGCGTTTACAAAAGTCCTGAGGGAAACTTGATCGAGGATAGTCACCCTGTCTGCAGAACAAAAAGTCACTGTCCAAAAGAAACACTTAAAATCTGCCGAGTCGTCTTCTTGTGTAACCATCACCCGCTGTTGTATAGCGAACACAAGGCAAGTTAACTTTGACTTCAATACCGAAACTAGGTCTGGGAAACAATTGGGCGCGAAATGTTGTTTTGAGTTTAAACATTTTATGTCACTCACTTGAAATAGAAGTGAAGCTTCCGCGAAGAAAATTTTGCAGCAAGTGTCTTTGAGCCGACGAACGAACATCTTCAAATAAGATTATTATTAAAAGTGACGTTTTAAGGGATACATAACGTATTACACCGATTTTATTTTTACCACATTATTACGGGGACATATTGAATTGATAATGAGTTTAGCTAATGTTTTAAATCTTACCCGTTTATAAATTCATTTAGTAAAACAATCGTCCAGACAAGATGATTATTAAACCAATATTATCAAACTCTGTAAACAATAAATCAACTCTGATTTCATTTTCAAAACAATCAAAAACTGGAGACGCAAGACGGCCGGCAAGTTGTATTTGAATTAAACGAGCACGTGTCCGTTGTGATATTGATGTGCGCGGTGTGTGTAATAATGCGTTGCTATTAACGACGGGCATTATAAAGAAGGAAATGCCATAGAATCTTGCTTAAAAAAAAACTGCATAGAGCTGCTTGTTTATTTGTTGTTTGTTGATTTTCATTCATAAAACTTGTTGAAATGTTTTCAGTGATCATCAGTTCTTTTTGAACACTTTATATTTTATATTTTTACACTTTATATTTTGAACACTTTATATATAAATTTAAGAAAACCGTGATAATATTGATAATCGCGATAATTGTGGACACTATAATTGTGATATGAAATTTTCATACCGTCCCATCCCTAGTATGGACTAATGTCCCAAAAAGTCAGAGTGTTCCTTTAATATTAACTAAGATCATTCTTAGTTCTTGTTAACTTAGGTAGCTAAATAATGTTAACTAAAGAACCTTATTGTAATGTGTTGCCAAATAATTTAAAAAGATTTCAGGACCCCTTTAATCTTATTTTACACTGTACTTTTGGACTGTAAGGAACCGCTCTGTGTTCCCAGACAGCCGTGTAACGCTGCGCTGACTGTGTTTGACTGCAGGTGATTTTAAAGCCCACCCAAAAGACCTGATCAGAGGGCCCGTGTGGCTCCGAGGCTTCAGAGGGATAGAGCTTCAGCGTCTCATCAGGAAGAAGCGGATGGTGGGAGACCGGATGATGACGGAGGACAAGCACATCCTGGACAAGAGGATCAGCTTTCTGTACCGCCGGTTCAACAGATATGGCAAGCACAGATAGACTGAACCACAGCTGGTGTGTGTGTATGTCCTTCATCTGTATCCATGTGAAGCTCATTTTGTGTCAAAAGCTGCAGCTCTGTTTATTAAACTGTAAAAAAACATTTGTCACAATGTCTTCATTACAAAAGATTATCATTTCAAAAGGGTTGAGATTAAATGCATGGAAGCTTGTTTCTGCCACAGAATTAAAAGGGTAATCTCACAGTTCTGACATTTAGTTTGATATCTCACAGTTTGAACTTTGACTCCCAATTTTGTAACTCAGAAATTCCGATTTTTTTTTTTTTTTTGTGGGTTATGTTGAACTACGAGCCAAAAATCATGAGATTTGCAATAACCTTTTTATATTTATACCTAAAAGTTTACATTTGTAAGTTTATAGCTCACAATTTTTTTCTTGCATAATCTCACAATTTATAACTTTCAATTCCAAGTTTGTATATCACAATTCAAAGGGGGGGGAAAAAAAAAATCATAATTGTAGGAAATAAACTGAATTACACAATTGCTAGGAAAAAAAGTTATTTTAATCCTGTGGCGGAAACAAGCTTGCATAAAAATGCTCTACAGTAATTTACTTATAAAAAAAATAAAACATTTCTCATTCAGCCCCACAAAAAAAAAAAAAAACCCCTTCAGTTGCTTGATTCCCTGTAAGTGGAGGTTCAGAGGGTGTTTCTGCTCTGGGATCAGTGAGAGAGGGAACTAGGACTGGGGAATCCGGTGAACGGACCTTCTGTAATGACCGGCTGCTCCGACTCCATCTGTGGGGGAACAGAACAACACGCACCTTAATATTGTCACTATCATTACTGATCATACTAGAGGTCATGGTTCTGCAGCATTTGTGTTCAAATGACTCGTCAAATCGCGTGTCTTGAGGAAGGTGCGAGTTATTGGAGATGTCTTTTTCTGCTTTTAACTGGCACTAAAAAAAGGGACCACATTACTCCAGACCAGTACTACACTGTCTTCATTGGCTACCGGTTCATTACAGGATTGAGTATAAGATTCTACTAATGGTTTTTAAAGCGATGCATAACATGTCCCCAAACAACATTGTTGACCTTTTAGGATCGTACAAATCAGGCAGGACTTTAAGATCAACGAACCAGCTTCTGCTGACAGTCCCTTATTCCTAAAAGAAGTCAAAGGGTGACCAAGCTTTTTCAGTTGTGGCTCCCAAGCTGCGGAACAGTCTTCCTTCTCATATCCGTCTAACTCAGACAATAGAAATGTTTAAGTCTCAATTAAAAACGTATCTTTTTAACCTAGCTTTTAGTTATGTGCATTGTAGACATAATTTACTCTTAGTTTTCACTATTTTAATTATTTCTACAATGACCTCACTAAGAGTGTGTGCTTTTACCTTCATATGCGCTTTTATACATGAATGTCTGTCTTACTGTTTTTAGTTAACTGTGAACAACATTGCTAGTATTAAATGTGCTTTAAATAAATTTAAGTTGAAAAAAATATAAATGTTCTTTTTCATAAAAGAATGGAGGAACATTAAATGAATCATGGTTTCCACAAAAAAATATGAAGCACAACAAACAACTGTTTTCAACATAAATAATAAGACTTTGGCCTTTGACTCATTATTTTGTAATTCAGAAATTCAGTTTTTTTTATTCATCTGAATTGTTGGTTATAAATGTGGAACTGTGAGCAAAAAAATAAAAATAAAAAATAGGAGATTAAGGCCCCATTTACATGAAGGGAAAATGCAGATATATTTTTCTGTGGATTGGCCTCTCTTTTGAACGTTTTATCACAGAAAACTATTATTTCTAAAAAACACCGGTTGTGTGTTGTGTGAACTGGGAGAAACGGCGTTTTAGGATCTTTCTTGTCGTTTCTGAGTATTCTGATTGGCTTGCACGTCATTAACCCCTACACTGCTGCCAATAGGTTTGGCATAGTTATGATGGCGCTCGACACCGTATTTATGCGGGTGTGTGAACAATGTTATTTTTGAAAACGGAGGGGGAAAATATTTGTTTTAATAAATACCCGGCTTTGTGTAAACATGGCCTAAAAGGTTGCAATTATGTTAAATATTTATCCCTTTAACAACTTTATATTTGTAAGTTTACAGCACACAGTTTTGACTTTTTTTCCTTGTATGATTTCTGAAGGATCATGTGACACTGAAGACTGGAGTAATGATGCTGAAAATTCAGCTTTGATCACAGGAATAAATTACATTTTAAAATATATTCACATAGAAAACAGCTATTTTAAATAGTAATAATATTTCACAATATTGCTGTTTTACTGTATTTTTTAAATCAAATACAGTAAAAGCAGAAGAGACTTCTTTCAAAAACATCTTAACTGCAGTCTGTCCCAGGATTATAATCTTTAACAAGATCTTGGTCTGGTCCTTCATACCTGTGCATCTCTCTCTCTGTCCTTGGGAACCCGATGCCTCTTTTTCTTGGGTCCACCGGCGGACTGAAGAGCAAACGCTGGAGAAGAGCCGTCTTCATCGAGAGCAGGATCTAAAGCCTTTCCTTCGTCCTGTTTGAACACATCATGTGTGTGTCGTCAGCTTCAGTGTTAGAACAAATAGAGTTGAATTACTTTCAAATAAATCCGATTTAAAAGCCGATTCGGGTGTGAACACAGCTTTATGTTAAAGAAGTTTTTGTTCCTCGCCTCTAGTGGGATGGTGAGCTGAGCCGTCCTGTAATCATCTCCATACGAGTCCAGAGTCTTCATGAGGAACCTGAGTACACATGAGCAGATGTTACGCTGAGTTATGACTGTTATATTGTAATATTATGACACTACATTTCCTAAAGGGTAACTAAACCCCTGGTCAGAGCCTGACTCCACCCACTGGCAATATTTGAAAAATGCTGAAAAAGGGGGCAGACCCCAGCGGAGATAGAGGGGACGAAAATTTTGACGAAACAAGCTGTTTTTTTATATTGCCAAGAGTGTAGCTCCTAGCTCGTACCAAGAACGTGGTGAGCTGAAACCTGCGTACATCACGAAGTGAACATCCAACTGCAGTAGCCACCGTTCAACCTGAAGAGGGCAGCACTAAGACACTTTTACACCATATATTATAGAAATAAAACACTTTAAACAGAAATGTCAAAAAAGTTACTCGAATCAATGACTGGTATTAATAAAGATGCATTCTTACAGATCATTAACTAAAAAAAGTTGGTTTAGGGTTTTAGTTACTAAGAAAAATACCCGAATATAATCCCTTTTATGAAGTCTTGATTTTGTTTTTGGGGTGTACTAGACTATATTTTCAAGCTTGATTATTCAAAAAACACATTATATTTCACATTATTTCAGCACCTCTCTCCCTAGTCAGGCTTGAACATTGATTTTGATGAAGCCTCTCCTTCTGAAATATGAAGGCGCTGTGATTGGTCAGCGTGTTGTGATTGACAGACTGCGAGCTCTTCTTTAGTGTAAATTTTAACAATGGCGTCAATTTCAAACCAATTAGAGCTCAATTCAGACAATGTTAATGAATGAGAGGACCGTGCAGAATGGATTTCATGCACCGACTTTGCAAGCACAGATTTCACAGGGCATTTCAGAGTGGCATGATTGTTTTTTGTAATTTTCTTATAGGCCTACATTATAGATATGATGTTATCCACAATTTCATCAGCCTTAGGAAGGTCAAACAAATGAGTTTTTGAAAAGGAGTGGAAAAAAACTGTCTCTCTTTGACAGAGCAGCCGCTTAACCAGGCCTCGTCCACTTTCTGTGGATTATTTTAATGAGGAACATTGTGACTTCATAAGATCTGGAAAAAACGTGTTGCTCACACACTAAAGTTGAAAAGTGGAAAAGCATATTAGGACCCCTTTAAATAAATAATACAAATACATTTGCGGATATAATCAACACTAGCCATTATTGGGCTGAATTTAATTGTAAAAAAAAAAAAAAAAATCATGGTAAAAATTGCAGAATCATTAGATAAATGTACCAATTGAAAAAAATTGTTAGTAGCAACCTTAGTTATTATTATTATTCCATTTATGCTTTTAGTAATATGTGTTTTTGTTTATGTGTCGGGTGTTTTTGATTGTTTTATTTGTGAAAACGCAATGAAACATGCCAAATTGTGCAACATAATTTTTGGCCAGCCAGGCTGTCAATCATACAAAGAAATTATGAACATGCAAAAACGAGAGAACAAACCAAATATTTAAATTCGTATTTTGTTGTTTTTATCGAACGTGTATGCTAATTAAAAACAAATATCCCCTCCGGACTCACAGCCACTACTTTTATTTATCCTTTAACGCCATAATCATGGCAAACTCAGGAGTGACAACGTTTATAATAACCATCGCTAGTGTTTGTTTCTAAAACAGAGTGCATGTACCTTCTTTCTTTCCTCAGTCGGCGTGTCAGTCTTTGGATCTGGTGAAGCCGTCCCAAAATCTTCTCATTTACCTGAGAACAGGTTCATAGGACTTTTAGTCAAGAAGCCTTTCACTTAAATGTATAGATCAGACAAAAATTTGAAATCCATTACCATTTACACACCTTCATGTCGTTCCAAATCTGCGACACATTATTTAATTTTATTTTCCACTAAAAAAAATTGACCTTTTGTGTTCCCCATAAAAAAAAAGAAAGTCATATAGTAACCAAGTTATGGAACAACTTTTTTTGGAGCAAAATGTTTGTACAGCAGGGGCTTTTTAATCTTTTAGATGCCACGGACCCCCAAATATGATCATTTTCGTGTGAGGGACCCCATCCTGAAAAATAACAGGCATCTATCGATTATTAACACCCTATTTAGACATTGATTGCACCGTTACGTGTATTATTTATTTAAATGTTATCTATTTTTGTTCACTTATTTAAAAATAAATAAACATTTTGATTCATCTAATTTAATCTATTTAATAGATTAATAGCTAACTGCTATTTTTATTTTAATCTAATTTATTTACTTATTCTTTATTAGTTTTTTGAGGAGAGATTATAATTCCTTAAGCAAAATATTTAAAAAAAATATATTAAATAAGTCATAAGGCATTTATCTATTATAATCACTTAATAAATTTACTAAAAAAATAATAGAAAATGATTTTTAATAACTCACACACACACACACACACACAAACAGTACTGTGTGTGTGTGAGTGTATATATATGTGTAACTATATATGTTTCTATTATTATGAGTTTATAGTATAGTATATAAACTCGCTATAGTAATGTACTGTTAAATGTATTATTTATATTAAGATAAATAAATTATAGATAAATCTATAAAGATTGTTGATTAATCTAAATGAATCCATTTAATAAATAAATAACAAATAATAAAAAAAGAAATTCACATTTTTATTCATTCATTTATTTATTTATTTTAATGGAATTAATTTATTTGACAGTTGTTCTGAAGTCTTTTCCCCGGACCCCAGTTTGAAACCCCTGCTCTACTTCATTGTTCAGGGCAAATGCAAAAGCGGTTCACCTGTTCAATCTCTTTGCACCTCTTGCTGAGAGCTTGATACTTGCTTTTGTCCAGCTCTCTCCTCTCATCTTCCCCATCCTGTGTGGGGCCGGCAGGGGCCCCGTCGTCCTCCAGGAGCTCACTGCCGCTGGGGCCCAGCTCCACTCCACCCGTCTCCAGCTCCGCTTCCAGAATGTGACCCCCAAACAGTGGAGGTAAAGCCAGACCTGAGAAATCCTCCATCATCTGAAGCACATGAACAAACGATGATTTGTCTTAACGTTACATACACAAGTGTTGTTCAACAAATGTATAGTGCATTCATTATGAGTGCACTTTCTCACCCGATATTCAGTTTGTACAGTTACATTACAGATAATGTTGGAAATTACTGACCAAGCATACATTTTTCTATGACCTGCTTCTCACATGGCTCGTTTCTGTACAGCAGTATGAAATGCTTGTGAATAAGCATAACGTTAATTTAATAATTCACATTTTTAAAAAACTTCATTTTTAGCCGTTTTACTGATTGTGTTAGATTCAGCTCTGTACTCACCTTTTGTTATTGATGTTATGAAGAGCCGAGCATGATGTCCGTTTATTGTAACGTTAGCAAATACTGAAGGTCTCTTTTGAACTCCTCATCAGTTCCGTCTAACTTACAAATAATTTAATCATGCATCCAACCAAATCATGTATTAGCCTTTGTTATATAATAAAATAAAACTAAAAACCTTCATTTTTAGCTACATTACAGCTCTCAAAACAACACGATCTAGCATAAGACGCGTTTTAAACACGTAATTGACAGTTGAGCCAATCCAGAGCGAAAGCGTCACCAACATTTTTTTTATATATTAAACTACATTTCCCATGATGCCTGAAGCACAGGACTACAGAAGCAAACATGGCGGGCAGTAAGTACATTTTGCTTGTTAGCCGCTTGAAACAAGACATGTTTTATTGTAGTTCAGTTCGATCGTATTGTACAATAACATAATCAATAGGGAATTGAGGAGCGGTATATAAAGTATTCGTGTCGTAAAAAATAATTAATGTTTAATGTGCAAATACGAGAATGACCTTGGTCTCATACTAGCTGTGGTTTTCTTTGCTGTGTTTCAAACATGAATTTATGATGAGAACTTATATATGTTGTTGTGCACCTATGACTCCTTTAGAAACATAGCAAAATGTTTTTTTTGTTGTTGTTGTTGTTTTGTTTTCGATACAACGGTATTCTCAAAATATATTGCCATAATTCAGCACTACTGTCTGTTGTGTTTACACTAACGTTAATACTGGTCAAAAGTTTAGAATAATTAATGTTTTTTATAGGTCTAACAATAATTTTTAAATGTTTTTGAAAGAAGTCTCTCCAAGGCTAAATGTATTTGATAAAATACAGTAAAACGACAATACTATAAAAATATTATTACAATTTAACAGCTGTGCTGCCTTATGTGGAAACTTTGATGCATTTTATTTTTCAGGATTCTTTGAGGAATAGAAAGTTCAAAGTACAGCAGTTATTTAAAAATAAATCTTTTGTGACATTAATGTATTTACTGTCACTTTTGATCTATTTAATGCGTCCTTGACTCTTTGCTAATAAAACTATTAATTGCCTTTAAAAAAAAAAACGTTTGAATGGTGTTGTATCAGTTATCAATCCTTGAAATGCACAATATTACTGTTTTTGATCAAATACTGCTGCCAGAAGAGACTTCTTTCAAGTGTTTAACCTGTAATGTACCACAGTATTACCATATAATGTTAATGTATTAATGCCATATCAAATTAAGCACTGCAATCAAATTACATTATACAACACAAACCGAATAAGCACGCCACTTCGCCCGGTTGTGTCTGCTATGGCAGATCATTGCATTTACTCTTTCTTTCTTTAGTTGGCAGGTTTTTGAAGAATGCCTGGAATAAAGAGCCTGTGATCACAGTTTCCTGTGGACTCGGACTGCTGGGTGTGTGTGAGACGATTGAAGTTGAACACGATCGCATTTTCAGTGTTCGTCATCCTGCTTTATGAATCTAACATATATTTTGTTTTTCACTCAGCTTGTATTCTGCCGGCTGTGAGCCCTTTAACAAAGTACACAGGAATGATGAACAAAGCTGTTCCATTTAATTATCCAGGTACGTTATTCTTTTTACATGATGTCTAAATAGTTCAGGTCACTTCTATGTGAGTGTTTCTTCAATAAGAGGGATGGTTTAATATATTTCAGACATTGTAAACAACAAAGTAATGTTGCTATTTGGTTATCTGCCCGTTAGTTTGATCTTTTTAATCACGTTTGACTCTCTTCAGTCCCAGTTCGAGATGATGGAAACATGCCAGACGTCCCAGCGCACCCTTGTGACCCACAGGGGAGAAACCTGGATTGGCTAAAAAACATGTGAAAAGTCCTTCAAAATCCTGTACAATCTTGAATCCAAACCCTCCTTTACTTCTGTCTCACTTGATGAATAGCCCTTAATAAAATCTCTTTATTTAATTATCATGTTGTTTTTTATTGATATTTTAGCCTTTATAAAATAGACTTGCCATATAATGCTAGTTTTAAAATGCTTATTGGCTTTTTAGCATCATTGTTAGTATATAGAGATCGACACCTAAAACAACAGAGATTAACTTTGTTTATTGAAGTACATTTTAAAAAAAAATCTATATAGTTATCATGATGTTAAAACATTCAAGAGTTCAAAATATATGAATGATCCATAGAGACTGAATCCTGAGCCAAAAACATCTAGGGAAAGTAGTCATGTGTCTGTCAGGTGCCTTCATAACACATAAGCATAAAATAATAATCAGAATAGTACAGCAAAGCAGCCGAACTGACTTGTACAGTAAAGTCCTGCTTTAAACACCAGTAGCAGGAGTCTCTGGGATATTTAATAAAAGTACAATGTCAACAGGGATCAAACCTGCTCAACCGCGATTACATCAGTTCGGAAATTAAAATGACAAACTAATACAGGCTAACATGCAGAGGAGTCCAAAAGTCTGAGCTGTGTCTGGGATAACGTATTACAAGTTACGTAATCAGATTACTAGTAGAGTAATGCATTACTTTTACAACAAAATATGAGTTACTTTTTCAAATAAGCAACTCAAGTAATCGACATTTCCTTAAAGCCACAATATGTATTTTTTCTGCTTTAAAAATAGCAAAAATAACTGTATCTATGTTATATATTTCTATTAGATGTGTACTTACATTATCCCGACAGTTTCCCCCAACTTTCAAATACGGAGAAATTTATAGTTTAATTCGAAGACACGGGACGTTTCTTTATTTCCGCTTCGTCGCCCGTCTATGGCGTCATATAACCTTTGACTCCTCTATTTTCTCTAACTTCCTTGCGGGACCCGGCGAAGCCGCCAAACACAAAGGGGAACAGTGGACTACCGCCAATAAAGCAAAGAAAATGACGAAGAAAAAAAAGTAGTAAGTATTTTTATGTGTGTAAATCACGTGCCCGCTCACGAGCGCTCACTCTTGACAGACTGTCCCCGGTGCTGCTCGCGCATAAAGCGCTCCCCATTCACAGTAACCGGGTCGTCTCATTCAAAACTGATTCAAATCAGCCAACTGTTGCTGTTAGCGAGCCGCGCACATTGAATACTCATATGAGTCAGGCTGCGAATGTAAGTTACGTGCCCGCTTCGGCGCGCTCATGCTTACTAAATAAATGCCTCACCTCCGCGACGCACACTCACTACATTCCCTTTAGCCTTAGCACAGTGGATGCTAACGCAAACCCAGTCAAACGTTTGACTGCAGTATCTTATGTGCTTTATAATCCGGTGCGCCCTATATATGAAAAATGTTCTAAAATAGGTCATTCATTGAAATGAGCGTAATATAAATATTTATTCGTCTGTATTATAGTTATGGACCACGATTACGCTTTGCCTGCACGTTCTGCTGCTCAGCCAGCTCAGTAAAGGTCAAACGTACGGGTGAAAAATATGACCCGAGAAGGGTTTGGGACAGGAGAAGCATGACACGGGTAAACATTGGGGTTGCATTTAAAGCTTCTTGACAAGCTAAATCTACAGAGAGATGCCGTATATCCGTATATTTTGTGAAACGATGATGTCATGCCATGAGCTGAGCTGGTTGTCATTGACAGCGACAACAACTCCCGTGAGCCCACGCTCTTTCCCGACGTCATCAAAGTACGTCTTTTGTTATTATTTTAAATAAGTGACCCCTGGTGGCCAAAAATCGCATACTGTACGTACTGTTCACTTTTGGTGTGAAAGGTCCTTTACATTTGCTAAAAATAGAACTTTTGTTTTGTTATTAAAACACAAACACGCAAGCCCAGCACAAGTGTGAGAAGTAATGCAAAATTACCTTTACTTTTACTTTACAAACAAGTAACGGATTACTTTTAAAAGTAACTTTCCCCAATAGCGAGTCGAGATGCTTTTCATTTCAACTCAGAAATAAGTCCTAGGATTTCAATGAATGAGAAATGAACATGGTATTCTAGATGTGCATTTGTAGATCTCTAATGAAGCGTAAACGAGTGTCATTGATCATGTGACTCAGACGGTCAGATATTCTTCCATTGAAACTCAAGGTGCGCTTTGGATTGTCTAAAATCATGCAGAGACGCGTCAAATATCAAAACTATGATAATTTTTTTTCAGTTAATCTTACTGAAATGGTTATGGTGATGCATTAAGAAAACATTTGTGTTAAATATTTCAATATTCTCAGACTTTTGGACCTCACTGTATTACAATAGACAGTTAAATTTACATATGTAAGGTCGGAGATTAACCCCTTTTTGCATTATTCAATTTAAGATATCCTTATAATAAAAAAAAAAGTTAATAAACGAAGGGGTCAAAACAAATTGACCCAGGAGTGGAGAAAAAAAAAATGAACAAAGTTGGCATCAGTTATATTAGTTTCAGTGTAAAATCTTTTAAGACAACAGACCTTAGTCAGGTTAGATGCCATATTGAGTTGAACGCGGATGAAAACGAGGCTAGACGTGTAGTTTTTACAATGGCACAATGCTATAAACATCTTAGATAATGTTATTTACACAACTCACATTTATAGTCGTGGAGTTTTTGTCTTCAGTAAGACGTTTTATCAGCTGAACAATGTATGTTAAACAGCAGTACAATCCATTTAACACACTGTAATTTTGCAGCCTCGCTTTCATTCCTGTCAAAAATGTAATATGGCGCTACCCTGACCAAGATCTGCTCAAAAACAATTAACACAAATTCACATGTAACTGAATCATATGTTGAGGTTCATTTTAAACCAATGGACAAAGACATCTCTGTTCCAAAATTATGGCAAAAACATGGGGAAGAAAGAGTTTGGTAACACTTTATTATAAGGTGACGTAGTTTGTTTATAGTAACAGTAAATTATGCATAATCACAAGTAACTAACCTTAAACCAAGCACTAACCATAACTATAGGAAGTACAAGTAATTGTTACTCAGTACTAATAAGAGTAATTACAATGTCGCAACGTCACCTTAACAAGTGTAACAGAGAGTGTTTCATTGTCTTTTATTTATAGATTGAACAACCTACAGCTACACGACTTCAGCACAGTCACATCCTCCAACACGTCTACACTTTCCAGACCTTTCTTTCACATCTTCAGATCTTCTCTCTGCACACAGCCTTCAAACCCCTCACCTAGAGTCTGCTGCAACTCGTGACTACAAGCTTATGTTTGGCAGATCGGGGGTTTAAACAAATACATGAGACAGATGGGGGAGGGGGGCACAATCACAACGCTCTTCCACAATCCTTTCTAACTCTTTCAAAGCCCTTCTGTAATTATACTCCATTTTCCATTCAATTTATTCTTTCCTTTTGACACCAGCCGCCTGCATACCTACTAAAGTTCCAGGATTCATTGTCTTTATTTAATGAAAACTTCAAAAAGTTGTATTTTTTTTTTGTGTGTGTGTGGGGAGAAAGTATCTTAATCATATCATGTGTATCAGTATTGTACAGAAAAGAGAAAAAAAAATATCTTTGTAAAAAAAAATTATTCAGTGCTCAACAGAAAAAAAAAATACAGCATATGTAATAGGGAGAGTTCACTTTGAAATTAATTGTTGATATGTTTTAGCCAGTGTTGGGAGTAACGCATTACAAAAGTAATACATTACAGTAACATATTACTTTTTGCTGTAACGCAGTAGTGTAAGGCATTACTAATCAATTTTCAGTAATATTTTACTCATTACATGTTCAGTGAGGCTTGTATTACAGTTGTATTACAGTGTATTGTCTGCTTTTACTTCTTAAAGGCAACAGACTATGTGAAAGTTTTAAAGCAGTCTTTTAGTGCCAGTTCAGAGCGGTCGCAGCTGTAACATTGTTTTTTCCTCATAAATGCGAACACGAAAACTAAAATAAAATGAATATTTTAAGTTCTATGGAGATTGGAGTGCCAACCCTTCCTCATCCGATTTGCGCAGTGTAATTAACAGAATTACAAAAAATATATTTTACCTCCTATTTTTTTGTCATGCATGAATGTGTGTCTTTTCCCTAATATTACAAATAAAACATAGACTGATATTTGTCTAATGTCTGGAGTCCTTTAAGGAAGTAGCCTATATACGTTTCAATACATGTATTTTCTGAGAATTTTTATTTCAAGTTTTGACTGCAAATGTCATGTCCATAATGCTGGACTTCCCCAATTTTAAATAATTTATCCTCACCTAGTTTTGTGGTGTAGGTCTACGTATTTTATAATGTTAACTTCAAATAATACTAATAGCCTAATTTAAAGATAAGGCAGCATTGGATATGGACGGTAAGGAGAATAACGCTGGAGTTGGAAGAGGTGTGTCGCGATTCTGTAGGTTCGTTGATCTGAGTCGTGTGGCGAATCGCGATTTGGTTTCATATTGCTTATCGTTACAGCCCAAAAGTTAAGTTCTACTTAGTTAATTTGGTGAAAGTAACTCAAAAGTAATACATGAGTAATGTAACGCATTACAATTCTGGGACAGTAATATTGTAAGGTAATTAATTACTTTTAAATAACAGTAACAAGTAATACCTAATCTATTACAGTTTGGAAAAGTAACTTGCACAACACTGGTTTTAGCTTACCTCAAGGGCATCCAAGATGTAGGCGCAGTATTTTCACACTTTGTACTTTGTACTTTGTTTACTTTGTTTACTTTGTACTTAGTACTTTGTTTCCACAGTATTTTCAATTTTGATATTTTTAGGTCAAACCGTTCTTGTCTGTCAGTCATATAATGGAGGTCTATGGTCACCACCTCAAAGAGCATGCACAGAGAAGTCCAAATTAAACATGATTTAATGACTCGTAAATGTAAGTACACATGATGCCCTAAGACACGAAACAAGCGGTTTGTGTGACAAAATGAACAGTATTTATATCCTTTTTACCTCTTGTAACCACAGCCACGTGCAAGTGATCTGAGGGCGCGGGCGTTTTGGTCTGCGCAAGTGCTGGAAGTGATCTCTTGTGCGTGTATGTCACTCATTGTTTACACAGAGATTTCGAAAGTGTTACCTTTCACTGTGAAGATCTAAACATATTTAGATATACAGGAAATCACAATGGAAGACGATTTCGATTTATCAACAGACAACGTTTTTTTCGCAACCGCACAAGAGATCACTTCCACCACTTGCACAGACCGAAGTGCCCGCTCCCTCAGATCACTTGGACGTGGCTGTGGTTACAAGAGGTAAAAACTATATAAATACTGTTCATTTTGTCACACAAACCGCTCGTTTCGTGTCTTAGACCATCAATGTGTACTTACATTTATGAGTCATTAAATCATGTTTAATCTGGACTTCTCTGTGCATGCTCTTTGAGGTGGTGACCATAGACCTCCATTATATGACTGACAGACACGAACGGTTTGACCTAAAAATATCAAAATTGAAACTACTGCGGAAACAAAGACACCTACATCTTGGACGCCCTTGAGGTAAGCTAAAACATACCAAAAATTTATTTTCAAAGTGAACTATCCCTTTAAAAGACATGGCAGTGAGTAAACAATGACAGAATTTACATTTAGATGAACTATTCCTTTATATGTATTAAGGGTTGCGCAGACTAGTCGACTTTGATGTTCTGCCATGCCGCTTAAAGATGACAATTTTAACAATGAAAAATGACATTCTTCAAAATATCTTCCTTTGTGTTCAGCAGAAGAAAGACATTCATACAGGTTTGTAATAACTTGAGGGTGAGTATGTTTTTAAGTCAACTATTCCTTTAAGCTTGACCATGGCCTATAGAGGGGACAACAGGATGAGAAATCTAAGAAGTCTAAGACAGTTAAAATGATTAAAAATAAATGCATACTCTGAGATATGTTTGATAACAGAGCGTCTAGATGCTCAAAAATGATCGAGTGAAAGCATGTTTTAAACAGCTTATTGTAAACGTGAGTTAATTGCTGTTCTAAACTAATGTGATGCTGTATTGTAACACACACATAAAAAGACATGCTTTTAAAACACTGTCATCCATAACATGAATTCAAATGTTATAGATCAGATTTCCCCCTCTCTATTCCATGTGCACTCATACCAAATAACATAAAAACCCTTCAAATATTTCATTATCTTATAATGTAATACATATATAATATTCATTTGATGTCCTAAATGCTAATTTATCATTTATCTGCACTTTAATCCTATTGGTTACTGTCTAAATGTGTTTCTGTTGGCAAAAGTGTTGCATATCAAAGGTTCAAAGCATTAAGCATCAGTGACCTTATTCCAGTCAGCATCTGTGGTTGTCAATCAAAGGCTCTGTTATATTACCGGGGCGGAGCGATCATTGGTCACCGTCTTCCTGAGTCGAATATGGGCGAAGGGATTGATCCTGTGAAGAGGTCAAGTTTAATCAACGAACCCATCAGACATGTAGTGTCTTAACATGCTCTTCTACACAGAGGGGACTAGCTGTACCTGGTGGGTGATGGCGGTGGAGAGGTGAAATCGCTGGACATCTGAGGAACATGAAAACTGTGTCAGTGGAATATATGCCAATATACTCTAAATCCTAGCATGATTTAGTAAGACAGAGAAGATATTTCAGACAATAATCTTAAATAGGAATAATCTTATAGTCCCCCTGTGGTGAAAATCAAGCTTTTAAAGTTGTTTATAATGTCTATGTGGTGTTTTTAATGTGGTGGGTCAAAACCATGTGTAAATTCATATGTTGACAGCATTGCTGAGTATTTTCTCCTTAAAACTTTTCTCCACTACCATAGTACGATGCATCTTTGGGGAAATCAACTACCCAGACAGCAAACTGACATTGAATCAACGTGGAAACGACGTCTCTCATGACATTGAAACAACGTTGATTTGCTCATCGAATTAACGTTGAACCAACGTGAGACGCGGCATTCTTCAAAGCTAAATGAAATCGAAAATTGGTTTGCTTTCATAACGTTGAAACAACGCGTTGATTTCAAGTTGATTTTCCGTTAGTTTTGAAAGAATGACGCATCTGACGTTGGTTCAACGTTAATTCGATGAGCAAAACAATGTCAGATCAACGTTGTTTCGATGTCATATTTCCACGTTGATTCAATGTCAGTTTGCTATCTGGGTTCCCGAAACCCACTGTCGCAAAGTATCGTTTAACCACATTGGTTTCGCACATGGTGGAGTAATAACTTTTTATGAAACTGTTTGAGATCCAGTTAACGCTAGATTTGTTTTATATAAATTACAGACATGTCATCTGAGGACTATGTCTAATTGTTTACAGTTGTTTTGCTTTATTTCGAGACTCAATATTTGGCTCGTTCTTACATAGTCTAGCACGTTTGCACATGCACACTCTTCAAACACGATACTTTAAATCTTTTGACAAACTAAAAGACGCAAATTACATTTGTATGTATTCTAAATAAAAGGCACTGGTTGTACTGAATATCACCTTGCTTATTTTGCTCAAGATGAGGATTTATTATGTGAGAAAAATGTGAAACTTTGCCTCTAACCACAGTTCGAGAGCTGTCGTTCAAACCACACAACTTTGCAGTGCTTTATGTGAATGTTCGTTGCAACGATGGTTTTGGGAAACATCGACTCGTTGAACTAAGCTGATAACGACGGAACTTGCGACCATATTTGGCTAACGTTGCTTTCGGGAAACGCACCCCAGATTAACAAGTCAACGACTGAATCTCTAAGCTGGTGTGAGTGAGTGGAGGTGGGGCTAATTAGCATATTCCTAGAAATGCATACTAAATGAGGCAAATAAGTCTAAATAAATAAGTTTAAATATGTCATTTTGGTGATCAAAGATGAGTTTTAAGAGATAAAATGATTGAGCACAGGGGACTTTAAAGGGTTAGTTCACCCAAGAATGAAAATTAAGTCATTAATTACCCACCCCCATGCTGTTCCAACCCCGTAAGACCTTCGTTCATCTTCGGAACACAAATAAAGATATTTTTTTATTAAATTTGAGAGCTGGATCACTCCTCCATAGACTTCCTAAGGGACTGGCTCTTGACGGCCCATAAAGTCATTAAAGAAAATGTTTAAATATTCCATGTGCCTACAGCGGCTCAATTATAAGTTTATCAAGCGGCGAGACTACTTTTTATGCGAAAAAAAAACATAAATAACGACTTTATTCGACTATTCCATTACTTCCTTATGAGCCTTGAGACGAGAATTGAAGAGATTTCCAGAGCGCATGCGCGAGAACTGAGACGAGGACGTTGTTCTTCGACTACTTCTTGTTACCGGCTGCTCACCGCTTAGGAGTATTACCGCCACCTACCGTATAAGATGACGATCCATATATAAGGCGCTCCGGATTGTAAGGCACACAGCACTGTCGTATTTGAGAAGATTAAAGACTTTTAAGTGCGCCTTATAGTGCGGAAAATACGGTAATTGAAACGCATATGTACAGCGCGCGTCTTCCTCTGCGTGTAAACAGAAAGTTTTGCGCTTCCAGCTATATCAGCACATCATCTTATACGGTAGGTGGCGGTAAAACTCCTAAGCGGTGAGCAGCCGCTAACAAAAAGTAGTCGAAGAAGAACGTCCTCGTCTCAGTTCTCGCGCATGCGTTCTGTAAATCTCTTCAATTGTAAGTCTCAAGGCTCATAAGGAAGTAATGGAATAGTCGAATTAAGTCGTTATTTATTTATTTTATCCTTCTCGTCGCTTGAAAAACTTATAATTGAGCCGCTGTAGGCACATGGAATATTTAAACATTTTCTTTAATGACTTTCTGGGCCATCAAGTGCCAGTCCCTTAGGAGTCTATGGAGGAGTGATCCAGCTCTCAAATTTAATAAAAAATATCTTCATTTGTGTTCCGAAGATGAACGAAGGTCTTAAGGGGTTGGTACAGCATGGGGGTGAGTAATTAATGACTTAATTTTCATTTTTGGGTGAACTAACCCTTTAAGGCAAGACACTACAAGCAAAACCCTTGTTTTTCATGCACTGGTTAATATTAAGATTTTGTGGCTATTTTGCTTCCATGACTTGTCTTCTTTGAGACTATTGGAAAGAAGACATCCATTTTAACATTTAAGTAACTTTTTTGTTTGACATTAATTTACAAATTTAAATAATGAGTCAATCTTTAATCCTTCTTCCAAAATGTGTTTTTTTCTTAACCTGATTCACTATGGAGAGCCTGTTTTAAGTGTTTATATTTTAGAGCTGCCAGGATGGTTTTCACAGGGAAATTGCGTACAGTACATGCGCCACTCGCCCGTGTGTCTTACATCCGTAAATAAAGAAAAGTTGTTCCGGCTATTTGACGTGTGTCTGGTGTGTGAGTGGCAGAGGTCAGTTGTCATTATGGGTGAGAAAGGTTGACATGGAGTAGCTAAATCTTCAACCTCCAGGGAACAGAGGAGTGTCTGTGAGAAGGACAAGGCTGACAGAGCTTGTAATAAAACAAGAATCAATATTGGCTTGGCTTTTCAGAAATGGGCATATTTAAATAGGTAATGGCTCATTTGCATATATATGCATAACATTCCAGAAAGCTTAATGTCTTAATGGACTGTGATTAGTGTATGGTGATAACTATTACTAATATTTGTATTACCCTATTCACATGCAGTGTCTGGCCTTATGTAGCACTACAGTCAGAAGAGACAGTCATGATGAACGTGTGTTTTCTGACCATGTCCTTCAGGCGCAGTCGTGGGCTCATCCTGCTGGTTTCGGGGTTCATCATGCTGTAGGGTCGTGGTCTGAAGGTGCTGACCCGCTGAGATAAGACACTCCTCTCGTCCTCTGAGTCAGGAGAGGCCTGCTGTAGCTGACCAGCGGGAGGAAGCCTGTCCAGCTGCCCCATGCTGGTGCTGTTCACCTTCGACAGGGGAAGAGCGCTGGAGGAAGAGGGATAGAGAGAAAATGCGTATGGGAATGCATAAACAAAATTGAACATGAATAGGGTTTTGTTTTCCATACAGACCTGACGTCTTGTCCCGGAGTGTCTGGATAAGTCTGCGTGTAGGAGACGGGAAACCAGCCTTTTCTATGAAGGAGAGTTTAGATCATTAGCATACATGACATGAGCATCTGAATATCTTCTGAGATGGATACGTTTAGGCATAAACCTATACAGGTTAGCTTGTTTTTAACTCTTTCACAGCAATGAAGGCAATTTCCAACGTTTATGAGACAACGCTAAATCTGGATGTAGTCTTTGACAAAAACACGATTTTCTCAGCTTTTTGCTCAAAATGCTGCTTTTTTATGAAACTTGGACAAAAACTACAATAAATCCTGTTGGAAAGCATCTTTTGCAGCGATTTTTGTGTGAGCATATCAGTGAACACCCCCGACCACTATGTGAGTTTCACGCCTTTGTAAACTAAAGTTTAATGCATTTTAGGAAGGATTGTGGTTTCATTAGGTGGTCGGTGCAACCACAGAAACCTCAAATTCTCAGGAGGGCAGCATGTGTCCAAATTTCAATCTATTTCATCAGAAATGATCTTAAAACAGGGCTTTAAGTGTAAAATACCGAACTTGTACTTTAAAGCAACACCAAGTAACTTTTCCTCTGCGGTCACCCTACAGGTTGGAAGCAGAATTGTTCATTACCGCTGTTGTAAATAATTTAGCCTACCGCAGTCCACTGTCACACACACGCTCGCTGTTTATCCAGCACCGGCTTTGGAATGAATGATGTCCACAGACAAGGTAGAGTATGTTGCATGATTTCATGAAAGTATGATGTATTGCGACATCAGAAATGAAGAAAAACTAAATAATGACTATTGTAACGCTTGACGTAAAGCAAGTCAAATTTGTAGTTTTCTTATGTCTCATTACAACTACAGAAACTCGACCCGTTCTGGCAATCTTACATAGAGTGGTTATAGCAGATATAGGACCATAAAGCAAATCCAGAAGTGCCTTTCACCCTGTTACGACTTAACTACTGAAACGATTTTGGAAACGTACTTGGTGTTGCTTTAAAGGCCTGTTCGTACTAAATGAAAAGGAAAGACTAAACATTATAACGAATTAAGGAAAAGTCCATTTTTCTGATGTGCCAAATAAATAGTTATTTAGTCCTGCACCATAAATAAGCACACAAAGCTAAGGTTTTATTGCCCTTGTTTTATTAACTGATGATTGATGGTCAGATACCGTCCAGTTCGCTCGTTCTGGCCGTAGTGCCAGCCGTCTCTGGGTTCACTGATCAGCAGGGAAAGAGTGTCTCCGGGCAGGAAGGACAGCAGACATGAAGCTCCTCCCTTCTCTCCCTCCGAGGAGTCTGTGGAGTGAGGGAACAGAGCCTCCACACGGGACGGCCCACAGAGAGGCAGCACACGGGGAAGAGTGGAGCCTGGAGAAGCACAACCATTGGAAGAGGACGTTTAATACAACTGTGATAGAAAGGATTCTCCTAAATTAAACTAGATTAAAAAGGTTCAACAAGACAAAATTATTGGCTTGAGAAAGTAGTTTATAAAGTAGTTTTAAAAACTTTGAAGTTTTTAAGTCTCAGATTCCTGGAAATTCTGGGTGTTGCTATGCAGAATGTTCTGTCTGGTTGCTAGGGTGTTGCTAGGCGGATGCTAGGGTGTTCTGGGTGGTTACTGTGGTGTTTTGAATGGTTGCTAAGTGGGTGCTTGGATATTACTGGGCAACTGTCAGGATGTTCTGAGTGTTCTGAACTTCTGGATGGTTGTTAGGTGGCGGCTGGACAGTTTCTAGGGTGTTCTGTATGGTTGCTAGGGTGTTGCTGGGCAGTTACTAGGGTGTTCTTAATGGTTGCTAGGGTGCTTTTTAAAAAATAAACTGAAATCAGAATTAATAACAGAAAGACATTATTATGATGCTGTAAACAAAAATGTGGACATTTTAAACATTTCCGACTATAACAATATCAGGAAAACTATCAAAAAAAATTTCCATAATATTTTACCTAAAAATAAAATTATATTTTACAAAATCAAGAAAATCAACACCTTCTTTTTGGATTTTGACAAAAGGACAATTAAATCATTTTTCCTCTAATGCAATAAAAATATTTTTATATTACTTAAATTGAAAAGTACATCTGTAAAAAAATCATTATGGCCTCTTTAATGTAGTTATTTATCATTTTTAAATAATTAAAAATATCTTGATCATTTATATTACAGTTTATGTTATAGTAACCAAGGATGATTAGGTGTCAAGAAAATATTTAAATGCTCCTCAAACTGATTTCATTCCCTAAAGAAAAATATAGCTTTTTATTTTTATCTTCTGCTTTTTTCGGCTGAAATATGGCAAAATATTTAAAAATCAGACGCACCCAAGAATCCCGTCCGAGCGTCGCTACTCTGTCTCCTCGGCAGTGGCAGTGTGGATGTGCCGTAGAGCTCTGGACCCTTCAGCACATTAGGAGCACTGGGAGAGCTGGACACTGCGTGATGGGCTGTGGACAGGACAGGTGTGAGTGCGCGGGACATAGGGGCGCTGTGGGGGAGCGGAGGGCTGTGGGGGGCCGTTAGAGGTGGAGTCAGGCCCTGCAGGGAACCGTGGGAGGATGCGGAGGTGTGGCTAACCGAGAGAGAAGTCTGTAACCCGGCCACGCTCACTGCTGGCTGGGAGTGGGCAAGGCTAGTGGAAGAACTGGAGTGGGCATTCCCATTTTGCTGAGACGTGTTGCCGACGAAAGACTGGGAGAGAATGTCAGACTGGGACGACCGCTGCTGTTGCTGAGAACGGTTGCTGCTGTCACCGTTCGACAGAGGTGGGACTTCCTGAATAGACAGCCTCTGAGAGAGGAGAAGGACATGAAGCATCATTAGTACTTGATTAATTACAGGGGAATTTATTGAAATATTTATATTTATAATATCTATTGTAAGAAAGCATGAAATAATTGTAAGAAAGCAATCAATCATTAAAATACACTCACCTAAAGGATTATTATGAACACCTAATACCTAGTATCTAATCAACCAATCACATGGCAGTTGCTTCAATGCATTTAGTGGTGTGGTCCTGGTCAAGACAATCTCCTGAACTCCAAACTGAACGTCAGAATGGGAAAGAAAGGTGATTTAAGCAATTTTGAGCGTGGCATGATTGTTGGTGTCTGAGTATTTCACAATCTGCTCAGTTACTGGGATTTTCACGCACAACCATTTCTAGGGTTTACAAAGAATGTTGTGAAAAGGGAAAAACATCCAGTATGCGGCAGTCCTGTGGGCGAAAATGCCTTGTTGATGCTAGAGGTCAGAGGAGAATGGGCCGAATGATTCAAGCTGATAGAAGAGCAACTTTGACTGAAATAACCACTCGTTACAACCGAGGTATTCAGCAAAGCATTTGTGAAGCCACAACACACACAACCTTGAGGCGGATGGGCTACAACAGCAGAAGACCCCACCGGGTACCACTCATCTCCACTACAAATAGGAAAAAGAGGCTACAATTGGACAGTTGAAGACTGGAAAAATGTTGCCTGGTCTGATGAGTCTCGATTTCTGTTGAGACATTCAGATGGTAGAGTCAGAATTTGGCGTAAACAGAATGAGAACATGGATCCATCATGCCTTGTTCCCACTGTGCAGGCTGGTGGTGGTGGTGTAATGGTGTGGGGGATGTTTTCTTGGCACACTTCAGGCCCCTTAGTGCCAATTGGGCATCATTTAAATGCCACAGCCTACCTGAGCATTGTTTCTTACCATGTCCATCCCTTTATGGCCACCATGTCCCCATCCTCTGATAGCTACTTCCAGCAGGATAATGCACCATGTCACAAAGCTCGAATCATTTCAAATTGGTTTCTTGAACATGGCAATGAGTTCACTGTACTAAAATGTCCCCCACAGTCACCAGATCTCAACCCAATAGAGCATCTTTGGGATGAGGTGGAACGGGATCTTCGTCCCCTGGATGTGCATCCCACAAATCTTCATCAACTGCAAGATCCTATGATCAATATGGGCCAACATTTCTAAAGAATGCTTTCAGCACCTTGTTGAATCAACGCCACGTAGAATTAAGGCAGTTCTGGTCAAACACAGTATTAGTATGTTGTTCCCAATAATCCTTTAGGTGAGTGTATGACATTATGACACTTAATAAAAAAAAAATTATAAACACTTAAAATTATTTTTTTTTGTGTATAAAAATATAGAGAATATCATGTCTATGTTATTTCACCTAAAATCAAAAGTTAGGAAAAACATTTTTTTTACATAAAGTAAATGAATCCTGTTTTTAAGACCATTACGTTTACATTTTTTAAAGCATTGTGACATTTTTATGTCAATTAAGCCCCTGTAATGTGGGAGTATTTGTCCCTCACTTGTTCTCCAGGTTGAGAGATTCCCAGTTTAGCGTTCCGCAGGACCTCCGCTAGTCCAGCTCCTCCAGAGCTCTGGGGGGCAGTGTGACGCAACAGGTTCAGGGCTCGTTCTGGTAGTTTGGTTGGCTGGGCACATGACTGTTGCCATGATGTCAGCTTCTGAGACAACAGCTCTCTCACCTATCAAACAACATTAATTGGTAACACTTTACAATACGGGTGCACTAATATGCATTAATTCATGCTTAACTAATGCACAGATAATCATGAGTTAATGTATAACTCATGAAGAACAAAACCATTAATTAATGATTACTGCATCATCAACTAATAAAGAGTCTATATGATTGATAGATTAAGTAATAAATGAATTGCTATTAATTCAATGTGTTTTTGTGTATTAATTCCTTAATAACATATTTTATTAACTAATAGTGTAAATTAATGTGTTAATTACCACAATTAGTCAAAGCTATTGCACTTCAACTTCCAGTTGTCTGCTTTAATTAAAGGGTTAGTTCACCCCAAAATGAAAATTAAGTCAGTAATTACTCACCCCCATGCTGTACCAACCCCGTAAGACCTTCGTTCATCTTCGGAACACAAATAAAGATATTTTTGATTGAATCTGAGAGCTAGATCAGTCCTACATAGGATGTCTAAGGGACTGGCTCTTGACGGCCCATAAAGTCATTAAAGAAAAGGTTTAAATATTCTATGTGCCTACAGCGGCTCAATTATAAGTTTATCAAGCGACGAGACTACTTTTTGTGCGAAAAAAAACATAAATAACGACTTAATTTCGACTATTCTATTACTTCCTTATGGGCGCATGCGCGAGAACTGAGACGAGGACGTTCTTCTCCTTCGACTACTTTTTGTTACCGGCTGCTCCGCTTAGGAGTATTACCGCCCCCTACCGTATAAGATGATGATCTATATATAAGGCGCTCCGGATTATAAGGAACACTGTCGTTTTTTTTAGAAGATTAACCCTTGTGCTGCATTAGATTTTTAACACCATTGAGTGCATTAAGGACCAAAAATGGCCACATATTAAACATTGCCTAAAATATTATATATTATTATTATTTTCCACTTTTACCAAGTTAAATCTTTTAACCAGCATCAGTCCTCATCATAACTACCAAAAATGTATTCAATTTCAGGATTTTAACCCTTTAATTACCAGTTTTGTTTGCGAAACCATCGATTTGTATAAGAGGAAAAAACACAAAAATTCAATTATTTTCAATAAACTAAATGCAAAGAGAAAACTTTAGATTTGGATTATCACAGTCCCACTTTGCAAAAAATCCCACTTAGCGCGTTAGAGACCAAAAATGGCCACCTATTAAACATTGCCTATTGCCTAAAATAAGGTGCATTTCCACCCATAGGGAATAAATATGTAGTGATGTCATCTGGTGGAATACACTATATAATGCAAATATAATGCTTTTGCTTCAAAATGAAAGGATGTTTGTGCAAAAATCATGTTTCATGTATTACTGACAGCCTCAGATTTAAACAACGTTTTAATGGGTTTCAATGGGCCATTTTTGGTCTTTATGGTGCTGAGTGTTACTATTTGATCTACACAGTGTGTGTTATACATATTTTGCAAAATGGGATCACATTTTTTACATGTATCCAAAAAGTCACAATTTTGCCAACTTTCATACCATTTGCATTAAAACAGCCAAAATGGTCAAAGAAATTAAACTGCAAAAGACCAAAAATGTCCCTAATGCAGCATAAGGGTTAAAGGCTTTTAAGTGCAACTTGTAGTGCGGAAAATACGCTAATTGAAAAGCGTATGTACAGCGCGCATCTTCCTCTGCTTGTAAACAGAAAGTTTTGCGCTTCCAGCTATATCAGCACATCATCTTATACGGTAGGGGGCGGTAAAACTCCTAAGCGGAGCAGCCGGTAACAAAAAGTAGTCGAAGGAGAAGAACGTCCTCGTCTCAGTTCTCGCGCATGCGCCCATAAGGAAGTAATAGAATAGTCGAATTAAGTCGTTATTTATGTTTTTTTTTGCACAAAAAGTAGTCTCGTCGCTTGATAAACTTATAATTGAGCCGCTGTAGGCACATGGAATATTTAAACCTTTTCTTTAATGACTTTATGGGCCGTCAAGAGCCAGTCCCTTAGGCATCCTATGTAGGACTGATCTAGCTCTCAGATTCAATCAAAAATATCTTTATTTGTGTTCCGAAGATGAACGAAGGTCTTACGGGGTTGGTACAGCATGGGGGTAAGTAATTAATGACTTAATTTTCATTTTGGGGTGAACTAACCCTTTAATCATTAGCTAACGATTTGCAAAGGTATCATTATGTTATGACTTTACTTGTTGGGGCACATCATTATTAACTAGTAATTTAGTAATTGTAGCAATTCGCACATGAATTTGCAGTAACAATAAAGTCATTAATCATGTATTAATGCATATTAGTGTACCTGTCATATTATCTGGAATTTGAAATACAAGGCTTTGGCTCATTCTGGTAATTAACATGTTATTTGACACCATTAGTTAAAAAAATGAGTTATTATGGAATTAATCCACAATTAATTAATAACAATTCATGTATGAACTAATACATTAACCTTACATACTCTTAATTAGTTCCTAATGTGGTAATCATTAATGAATAGCTTCGATAATCATTAGTTACACATTAATTCAGTATTATCTGTGCATTAGTTAAGCATGAATTAATGCTTATTAGTGCACCCGTATTGTAAAGTGTTACCCATTAATTCATAATATTTACCCAGTTAAAAATTTCCTTATGACAAAAATTCTCCTCTGATTTTGACACTAAATGCTCTTTCTGTCAGAATGACACTGAAACTCTTCTTCACTTGTTTTGGTCATGCAATTTTACTCGGGCAACTTTGGAAAGATGTTAGTGGGTTTATCTCAAGCAATATCTTGCCGAATTTCTCCATGAATCCCAAAACTGTTATTTTTGAAGCTGATTCAAATGCCTGCTTTGTAATAAATCTAATTATTTTTCTATGTAGTCTTTATATTCACAAATGTAAGGTTTCAAATTGTAAACCATTTTTTTTTTGGTGTTCTTGGATGAGATAAAACATTATTTGACTACAATTTCATCCTCTCTTAACCCAAAAGCACTCAGAACATGTAACATTTGCAAGACAAACTTTTTAATTTATTTAATGTTTAGATTTATTTTCATTTAAGTAATGCTCGCTTTTTTTTACCCCCATTCTTGTTTATGTCACTGTCTAACTTTTTTGTGCTATGATGTTGTAGTCGTGTAATTATTGTGTTGTTTCACACTGTAAACTGAATCAAACAACATTTTTAAAGTTGAGATAAATACACATTTGGACTTTGCATCACAAGTGCTGTCCCAGGAGTTTAGTATGACTGAAAAGCCAAACTTATGGACCCAAATATATGCAAACATCAAATTGCATAAGTTTATAAATGCACTATAAGTGTTTTGAGGTCATGAATTAGTAATTTAAGATAATCTGCCTAGAGACTTTTTCCAGTGAACTTGTTTGCTAGTCCTCTACAGCCTGAGTTAGTTGGTTAAAGCTTCATTGTTGGCTCATATCTGTAGTGTTACCTTGCAGTGGTAGTTGACGAGGATCTTGGTGACTGAACATTGACGGTCCACCAGAAAACAATAGCGCCGCCTTTCTTCTGTCAGAGCAGAGCGGTAACCAACGGCAACTAAAGAGTCCAACTCTCCCTGCCGGCGACTCATCAGCTCCACATACTGTTACAGAGAGACCTTTAATTAATTCATCTTTACGTAGAATATGACAAATGTACACCCCATGACTGGCATCTAAGGCCAACGACTAAAGTTCAGAATCCTTAAAGCAGGAGTTCACAAACTTTTTGGTCAGCTGAACCCTTTTAGACATAAGATATAAACTTGAGACATAATATTTCAATACACATTTGCATGTTCACGGTTCTCTCCACATTAAGTTTACACTTGATTATTATTTAACTAACTATAAAAATAAAGAAACATATTACTGTTGTAAACTAAAAAGCCAAAAATTAATAACTGATAATTATACTACTAATAATTTTATTTTACACTACAAGTTAATCATACTAATATTGTTGTCTGAAAAGAATCACTTTCAAACATTCAAACCCTTGAGCTCTTTAACATTTTAAAACCTCAAGCTTTTATTTTTTCGTGTTTTTTTAAATGTATTTATTAATTGACATGAAGAATCTTAGGACTAACATATTTGTATTTTAGTAGATTTTATTTTTAAGAATCACGACTATCATAAACATGACTTATATGTGGATAAATTAAACTCAACGTACTATTGAAATTGAACATTAATAATTGTACATGATAGCATTGATATATAGCATTGTATTCAACACCCCCCCCCCAAACACACACACACACAAACACACTCCTGTCCCATCAACCTTTTAAAACAAAGTTATGCCACAAGTTAATTAAACTGCAGCCTTTGATTATCGTACAGCCATTTATTATATCCCACACATTTATTTATTGTTATTTATTACTTATTTATGTTAAATTCAATGTAATTCAATATTAGCTTTCATCAACCCCCGTTTGGAAAACCCTGTCTTAAAGGGCCAGTTCACCCAAAAATGTAATTCTGTCACCACCATTGATGTTCTAAACGTTCTTTTAAGTGAAATTTTCATATTAATAATATCTCTGAATTTTCCTTTCCTTTCCTTTCCTCATCTGTCCAACTGTGGTCCTGTTTTACTTCATCATTTCCCCTCTCTCGTTCCTTTGTTTTTTTCTCTGCCCCATTGTTTTTTTTTCTGGCCCCAAATCAGCCGTTCCGGATATCTGCTTAATATTAAACTAAGACTGACTTGTTCTTCTTTCTGATCCAAAATCATGCTTAGAGTAATGCTTCTGATAGCATAGCTTAGGCCTACACAAATAAAGATAGACTCACTCCTGTAAAAACACGTGCTGGAGGATACACATGCACAAATAAACAAACACTTGTTCACACACGGATAAAAAGTCTTCCACTCACAAATCAGCTTTAATATGTAGGACACTGGCACAAACAGACGGCCCTCACTGAGCTCAATTGGTCATTATGAGTCACACAAACTACAAATGACTGGCAGTACATGACATTCTACACTAAGCCTTCAGTAATGAACACAGCAAGTCAAAGAACTGGCAAGCAACACAATTACTCAGTTCTTTAGCAGGCGCTTTAATCAAAAGTGACTAACTGTTCATTTATTGCAGTGGCAATCACTCTGAAGTGAATGTGGCTTCGCTGGAAGGTGATTGTGACCAAGTGGGATCAAATTGGGGTCAAAATTAAGTATGTGTTCTGAGTTTGTCATACCAAAGAAAAATGTGTAATTAGCCACCCAGCCAAATTTGAATGATAAAAAAAGCCGGCAAGTACATAAAATAAGCTATCAAAATCATGAAAAAATGAGCAGTTATCTCTGTTCTCAAACGCTGGGGGCGTGTGCTGAAACCACGCCCACAAGTGGGAAAGCTGTCGACGGTGATATTAGGTGAAAATGCTTTTGGAGACGGGAGGATGAACACTGAGGCGGGAGATAGTCGTTTCGGCCCCGTTCACCAGTAACAGCGGATCATCAGTGAATCCCAGTTGTCTCTGAGGAAAGTTTATAAAACTATCCAGTGTAAAATGAGGCGGGTGTTGGCGGTGATCCACAGCTCTTTATCAAGGTTGGCTCTCTAAAAACCTCTTATTGATGTGATCGTTTTCATTGAATTTAAATGAAGATACTGATCTGTTTTGTACATGATCGCATCCTGGTAGTAGCCTATGCATTTCTGTGTCGAAGGCATAGCTAGCTAGAAAACTGTAGGCTCAGCTTGTACTGACAGTCACTCGCGATTGAGCGGTGAATGCGAATGTGCTCGGGGAGTGTTATTGTGTGTTGGGAGAGATCAGACTCTGTGCGTCATCAAATAGGGGCGTGTCCAGGAGCTCATGGACTCCAGTGCGTCATCGAGCCCTGTTTTAGCCCCGCCCAAACAATCCGTAAAATTACAATGGTGAAAAACTGTTTAACGGTCTAACTCCACATTTCAGTACTTCACAGTTCACAGTCTTTGTTTTAGCAATACATATGTAACATTTATAATGTGTTTAGAACTTTTTTGTAGAATTGGGTTTACAGGGATTTTAAAGTTGAGGAACATTACAAAATATTATTACTATTTAAAAAAAAAAAAACATTTTACATGCTAAATCTATGGTGGCCGAGAAAGCTCAACGCGCTTCAACTGACGAAAGCACATGCAAATAAAAGAAAATGCATGCAAATAGAAAAAAAAACGCATGCAAATAGGAGAAACTGATTGCAAATAGGAAAAAAACACATGCAAATAGAAAAAAATGCATGCAAAATAGAAAAAAATGCATGCAAATAGAAAAAAAGCACATGCAAATAGAAGAAAATGCATCCAAATAGAAAAAAAACATGCAAATAGAAAAAACGCATGCAAATAGAAGAAAATGCATCCAAATAGAAAAAAATGCATGCAAATAGAAAAAAATGCATGCAAATAGAAGAAAATGCATGCAAATAGTAAAAAATTGCATGCAAATAGAATAAACTGATTGCAAATAGGAAAAAAACACATGCAAATAGAAAAAACGCATGCAAATAGAAGAAAATGCATGCAAATAGAAAAAAGCATGCAAATAGAATAAAATCCATGCAAATAGAAAAAAAGCATGCAAATAGACAAAAAACACATGCAAATAGAAAAAAAACGCATGCAAATAGAAAAAAACGCATGCAAATAGAAGAAAATGCATGCAAATAGAAAAAAATGCATGCAAATAGAAGAAAATGCATGCAAATAGAAAAAAACGGATGCAAATAGAAAAAAAACGCATACAAATAGAAGAAAATGCATGCAAATAAAAAAAACGCATGCAAATAGAAAAAAATGCATGAAAATAGAAGAAAATGCATGCAAATAGAAAAAAATGCAAGCAAATAGAAGAGAATGCATGCAAATAGAAGAAAATGCATGCAAATAGAAAAAACGCATGCAAATAGAAGAAAATCCATGCAAATAGAAAAAAGCCTGCAAATAGAAAAAAACACATGCAAATAGAAGAAAATGCATGCAAATAGAAAAAAACGCATGCAAATAGAAAAAAAAGCACGCATGCAAATAGTAAAAACACCCGCAAAATAAGAAAACATCTTCATCAGTTTCACAACACATGTGAGCTCCACCAACAACACCCAAATACAGAAACGCGCTGCAAAAGCTCACAACACAAATACAGAAACACGCTGCAAATAACACAGACCACAACGGAAATGTTTCCAGGGGAACCAAATAAGTGACGAATCCGGCTGGGAAGTTCTGTTGCTTACAACTTAAAATTCTACTTTATGTATTTATTTATTTTGCAAAACATACAGAGATTACATTTTTATGACATGCAACTTTTATGAGTTGGTTTCAGTTCAGTTATGTTTAGCTTGGGCTCAATGCATACTGATTAAAGTCTCATGTCACATGTCATGCCATACATGTAAAAGCAGTGAGTTATATGCAACGTACCTGCATCTCTCTGTCTCCATACTTGTTGGGATGACGACTAGCTTGACTCTTCCTCCGCAGTTTCTTGAGCTGTGATTGGCAGCGCTCAATGGACTCAACCTTTGACTTCCTCTCACTCTGGTACTTCTTCAGCGTTGACTGGAAAAAGTTTTCATATCGTGTATTATGGGTAACACTTTACTTGAAGGGGTGTGCATAAGACTAACATGACACCTTCATAATCATGACATGACATATGTTAAGTTCTATGCATATTCATGACAACTGTCATTAAGTGTCTTTCGCTCAATTATGACAATTTTAATGCAAATATGACATTGTTTGAGATGTCTTTGTTGTGACACTTTGACATAAACCAATACATCATAACCTGTCAGTGTCTTTGTCATGGCAACTTGTTCAGTTAAGTTCAGTTAATTTCCATATAAATCTTTTCTAAAAGCATTTGCAATACAACATGAACACAGTAAGTACATTTTACTTAAATTTTTTTTTTATGCAAGTACATACAGTATTAGATAAAGACACCTAATATAAAGTGTGTCTCACAAACCCTGAGTTGATTTGTTTGAGCTCTCCAATTTAGTTATTTCAGTATGTTGTTCAGTTAAACAGTCATTTCCACTCACGGTGAGATATTTGATGTCTAACTCCAGTTTCTGCTCCAGTTGAGACAGCAGCTCTGAATGAAACAGCTTCAGCTGCAGACAGACAGAACATGTAGCATTCAATCAAATACTGTGATTATGGGAGCACACCGAGTGTCTACAAAGACATTAGGTATAGAAAGCCAGTTCACTCCTATTACGAATGGGACAAACTGCAACGCATAATATGGCAGAATACGCCCCGCGTATAGAAGTAAAAGAGCCAATCACTGACTGATAAAGTCATTGCATCGCTACAGTTGTTTTTTGTAAAAAAAAAAAAAAAAAACACAGAGATTACACATTTATGATAACTTTGTATACAATATACAAAATGTATTAACATTATCTTCAATGTCATCGGAATACAAATGAGATAAGAGTTATGATTAGCTGAAACTGAAAAATAACTAAATAAAAATGAAAGAATTTAGAGAAAAAAAGCATAAAAAAAGTGGATCAAGAGCATTGTACAAATTAAAGACGTTCTACCTGCTTTCTTACTAACTGAAGATGTAATTGTATTATACATTTTAAATTCTTTCAAAAGCACTAAAAAAATGGTTTGTTTTTGGTAAACTTACTTTTATGGGTAGAAAATTTGCAAAGAAGATAAATAAAATGTATAACAAAGAAAGCATTACTTTTAGTAGGGGTAGAATCAAAGCATACAAAGTTATGGATATCTCTTGCTGGATATTATCTTTAATAAATGTGTCAATATTATTCCAAAGTTGTTCAGTGTTCAAACATGACCAAAATAAATGATAGACAGTTTCTGTGTGAACTTGGCAAAATGAGCATCTTGTATCAATATCGGCTTTATATCATGAAATGTTTGACAGGGTTAAATCTATTTATTATTTTGAAAAACACATATTTTACCTTTAGTGAGGTAAAAAGATAGACTTATTAGGACCAAATCTTTTTCCAATTAATTTTTTTTTTTTTATAGATTATTCCAGTAAAAGATTGCAAGAGATACATAAATAATATTTTCAAGAACAGGGGTTCTAACTTTATAATTTCTATCCTTTTTTTCTTCTTCAGAAAAACTATTTAGCCTATTGAAGTTTCTATTGTCTCAAGATGCATCACTGCAGATGCAGTTAGAAGATCCGGTTCAAATAGAAACCTAAGACAGCCAGAGCCTGAACACACAGTGCTTGCATTCATTAGTTTACGATCTGTCTAACAGTCCTGTCTACTATGTTATTTGATAAAACTGTTATACATAGAAAGACAGTATGAAAGGTATTAGCGTATGCCGTGTCGTTGAGAAGAAATACATAATCATGTTTCTCTTGGTCCCCTCAAAGTTGCGTTGGATTTTCTCCTCAGCGTAAAGGTTAAAAGGTCCATCCATCACTGTTTTCCATGTTAGTTTCTGGAGTAAATATATAGGTTATAATCTGTGCGTTTGCACAGCCTATTTAAAAATGTCAGATGCTGGTGTTTCTTGAGCTTTTGGCAAACGTCACAGACTTTAGTTCATGCGTTCATGACTGGGAGGTTGCCCTGCACGCTTAATAAACACACTTCAGCTAGTCCAAAACGCAGCAGCTCGAGTTCTTACCAGAACAAGGAAGTATGACTATATTAGCCCGGTTCTGTCAACCCTGCATTGGCTGTGTAACGATGAGGAGGCAAGGAGGAATCCAAATGCAGTAAACAGTTTTTATAATAATAATAAACAAACAAAAAGGGAACTCCACGGAAAACAAAGAAACTTAGAAACAGGAACTCAGAACTAGACTCAGAAACAACGCTACAGTGAAACATCGACCGACACCCAACAACTGAAACACAGGGGTTTAAATACACAGACAAACAAGCTAAACGAGGGAACAAGGGGGCGTGGTAAATCAGAAACACCTGGGGAACTTATAAACAAGAAAAACTACAAAGGACTACAAAACATGGCACAGAAACAGGAAATAACTAAAGTCCACACAAGACAAGGAAAACACAAGACAGGAATCGTGACAGGCTGCCTATTAAACATCGTATCCACAAGTTTCCTACGCCCCATGAGGCCTTGCGTCAAAAGTGGGCGCGACTTCCGGTTGGAAGTAAACAAAGCACGATTTGACATACTTCACACTCGTTCATTCAACAGTTGACAGTCAGTCAAGTAATAGCGATCCAAACTAGCTAACGATGTGGGAACACAACCTCAACGAAATTCAAAAGGGTGAAATAACAGTACCTTTACCGTCCGCAGTAGTTGATTGGGAGTATTATTAACATTATTAATAATCAATACTCATCAAGGCATGGTGACAGACAGTTGTGCGAGCTGACAAACAATTAAAATAAAAAATACACACTTAGTCATTGTGCTTTGGAGTTTATTCAAAATTATAAATGAATGTGCTGCTTGAATACATTAACTGGCACATTTGGTATTCTGTCAACACAGGCTTTGATCCTGAGTTTAGGTGTAACATCAGTAGCGAACAGCCAATCACATGCTGATAGAGTTTATAGAACATTAAGAATTTAAACAAATGTACACAGGAAGATTCGTCGTCTTTTGGGAGGTGATGGAAACTACAGTCGTTGGCAGGATCACTCTGATTTCGTTTTCAGCTTAATGTTCAAAACAATCACGTTTAAGCCACTGAATTAGTTTAGTCCGGTTATACATACAACCGCGAACAGCACATGTTGTCCCTGAGCTCCGTAACGACATCTCTCATAAAGATTTGCGTCTTTAAATAGTAAAATAATTCTCCGAAAAACAGCTAGCCTCTTCGCTAACTAACACACAAAATACCATTGGAATGCTACTTCCGCCGCCTCACCGGAAGTTTCACCCACTTTATTTTTTACAGGAGCGCCCCTCGGAAACTTCTGGATACATTTTAAAATATTGCTGATTATTTACAAATCACTAAATGGTTTAGCTCTGCAGTACTTGAGCGAGCTCTTAACGCATTATAGTCCTTCACGTCTATTGCGATTTCAAAACTCTGGCCAGTTGATAATACCTAGAATTTCAAAATCGACTGCTGGCGGTAGATCCTTATCCTATTTAGCACCAAAACTCTGGAACAATCTTCCTAATATTGTCCTGAAAAGCAGACACAATCTGTCAGTTCAAATCTAGACTAAAAACACATCACTTTGGCCTAGCATACACATAACATCTATAGACTTCCTAAATTCAAATTAGGCTGCATAGTTTAGATCAGCCGGAACTGGGAACACGTCCCGTAAATCCTGATGTACTTGGTACATCATAAGAAGGATGGCGTCTACGCTAATATCAGTTTCTCTGTTTATCCCGAGGGACCCTCTGGTGGACCTGCGCCTGGACCCATCCCGACTCATCGACACGACAGCCATCACCACTGATCCTCAACATCTCGTCTCCAAACCGGTGTGATTACTTCGACTTCCAAACAGATGGAAATGGACAATTCTCTTAATATTTCAATACAATTTGTTTTGTAATCACTGTTCCTTCGTTGGCCAGAGGAGAACTGGCCCCGACTGAGCCTGGGTTCTCCCAAGGTTTTTTGCTCTATTCAATCAGCTGATGGAGTTTTGGTTCCTTGCCACTGTTGCCTTGGCTTTTGGCTTGCTTAGTTGTGGACATTTAATATTCATCGATATTATTGATCTGTGTTGTATTATTTTCATGTTATCACTGCTTTGATACAATCTGTATTGTATAAAGCGCTATATAAATAAAGGTGACTTGACTTGATTTGATAGTTCCTATAGCGCTGACTATAGGATTTAGACCGACTCTAAAGTACCTCGTTTCCACCAAAGAAGAACTGGTTTGGAACTGGTGATGGTTCAAATTTGGTTCAACTTGGGAACCTTCTCAGAACCTGTTTGTTTTCCCGCTGACTAGAGAGCCTAGCGAACGACGTCGTTACGTCGCCAAACATCTTAGCTTTCCCATTCCTGTCGTGTTGTTGATTACAATAACCCTGCCCCCAGCTGTTCTAGTCCAGAAAGAGTTGCTGCCGCTTTGGAACCAATTTTTCTAGCCGAAAACCGGTTCTTTGGCTGTCGAAACACAAAGAACTGGTTCGCGAGTAGGCACCGGCTTCAAACCGGCTTTCAAAATGAATGGTGGGAAAGGGGTAAAGTAGGAGCTACATTAGTTCCTCCAAAATCGATCCTAGTTCCTGCAGTGCGAACGTGCCGAAATCGACGTATTTCCGCCAATAGTTCTAGGAACTATGAAAAGGTTCCTCTGGTGCGAAAGCTTTTTTCACAAAGCTTCTTTATAGTGGAAGAAGGTGCTTCAGATTTTTACAAAGTTCATGGTTCTTTAAAGAACCGTTCACCGAAAGTTTCTTTAGGGCAGTGTTTCTCAACTGGTAGATCATGGGGACCGTTTTAATTGAGCACCAGAGTATGTAGTCACAACAACAACACAAAATGTAATTAAAAATGTTTTTCTGTTGTGCAAGACTTTTATTTTGAAAGACATGCATTAAAGCTGTTGACCCTTCTGCAAAGACTTTGCTCTACTTTTTTCCATTGCTCTACTTTTCCTTTGTTTCTGTGTGAACAGCACATTCCAGGGCCCAGTTTATGGCCGGGCCCCTCTCTTACTGCAACAGTGGAGAAAGGTTTGCAACATTTTGATTGGCTCTTGGTGGACTAACACAAACAAAAAGTCCAACAGCATTAGATAAGGATGCTAGCATGGCAGACACCTTAAGCACGGGAAGGAGAGGACTTTTCATTGGTCCACAGGCAGTTTCTGCCCTAATCCCTGAGGTTTAAGCCAACCACAATAAAAATTCTTTAGGACTTTTTAGATGCAAGAGCAGTGGCTGCAATAAAAGGAGGCCACAATGATCCACCCAAATCCATTCATAACTATTGTTTGGGGACCTTAAAACTGGTGAAAACTACACAAATCCAAGTATTCCCGGTGACAGCTATTTGTAATGCAACATCTTACACAAATTCAGCTGTTAATACACAAATGAATGCATGCATGACATTTCAATCGTTTCCCATCTTGTTTGGACTCTATTTGTTTAGAATATTGCCAAAAGTATTCTGGAGGTGGTTATGGAAAGTGAGAAATGCATCGGTAAAAGACACTTTAAAGGGTTCTTCTAACTGTGTGCTTTATGCAAATGAGTTCCATAGGGAAAATAAAGGAGTTTCAATAGCTTTGCTTCCATCCACACGTTTTTATCAGAATTTAGTGATATCGAATGAACGCCTTATGGAAACAGTAAAATTCGATTGAATTTCTTGAATATCGACTCAAATGAAATACGTTCGGTCTCATCGGATTTGATCTAGATCGATATACGGCTTATGCGATAAATGCTGATGGAAACGCTATTTGCCGAATAAATAATGAACTGCAATTAAGTTTTGGGTCATGGTTGCAACACGCCACATAGTTTTAGTTCATTTCCGCCCAGTATTTCCGCTCTGTTTGCGCACACATGGCGGGTGTCAACAAAGACAGATGTAAGCGGACAAACGAGGAGACGACCTCCCAGAACTCTTTGGAGCGAATCTGCAACATCATAGCAATGCGTTGATAGCATCGTTAGCTTATAACTTGATATGTCGCTATCAACTGGCACATAAGCACTATTACAACTTGTGCAATATTGATCATTTGTTGGTAGATGGTCCGATCCATTTTGTCTAGCAAAACTTTTTGTTTGCAAATGTTTGCTTGAATGTTGTGCGATTCGGTGCGAAAATGAATGGAAACACCTTAAAATGTCTCAAATCAATTCGATATACCAATTTGATCGCAAAACGGCATGTGACGTGATAACGCACAGGATTTTATTCGCTTTAAAGCCGTTGGATGGAAACGCACTTTCACCAGCTTTATTCGCATGAGTTTTTTTTTGGTTTTTTTACTGAACTTCAGATAATTCTATTGACAAGTGGATGGAAACTTAGCTAGTGTGTCAGGAGACAATCACAGCACTAAAATGGAGAACCGCCAAAGCATCAATTCGTTCGTTGAATAAACCAAATGACTCGGAAAAAGATTTGTTCATTTTGATGAACGAGTTTGAACAGGAGAGTCACAAACACGAGTCACAGAACAGAGCAAGGCGACCATTTGAGCTTATAAAACTTAAACTTTATTTTTTTTTTAAATGAGCGATCGTTTCGCTTGATAAGACCCTTATTCATCGTCTGGAATCGTTTAAAGACCTTTGAACAGTTTGCAGTTTGCACTGAAACTGTCTTTTGGACCTTGAACCATTTGGTTCCCATTGAAGTCCATTATATGGAGAAAAATGCTGGAATGTTTTCATCAAAAACCTTAATTTCTTTTCAACTGAAGAAAGAAAGACATGGACAGGATGACATGGGTAACATGAGTAAATTATCAGCAAAAGTTTTTTCAAAAGTGAACTACTCCTTTAAGACCCATGATCCTCACCTGACTATGGCTTTGTAAACTTTATCCATGATGTGGTTTATAATGGACTGTGGTACATCAGTGTAAATCTTCCATTTAATCACTTGTATTGTATGCATCTTATTCCTTAATCATTCATGGTATTAATTTCGTAGTTGTGTTAGATATTCTTGCTCATCTTTTTGTTAATAAAAAATGCTTTATTAAATCTGTCTTGTGCTGATAATATTTATATATATATATATATATATATGAACATCTATATCCAAAGATTGTAAGATAATATTTGGCTGTACGAGCTGTTATGAGATACCAGTACACCTGTTGTGTTATTGTAAAAAAAAAAAAAAAAAAAAAAGTTATAATAATTTTTTTTAAAGGTTTGCGTTTCAGACCCCTAAAACACAGTTGTCGTGTAAATGAATAGTCAAAACGAATAAAAAGTTGTGATTTTTTTTTTTTGTTGAAAACAATCATGAACTTAAGTTGCAATAAATTACAGTAAGTAACTAGTGTGTCGTGTGTTAGCTTTGAGGGATTCGTATGCAGATATGATGTTCATTCTATTAATCAGGATCAGTGTCCTTATGTAATAAAACATATGGACACTAACAGTTCACGTTAGTATTGTGTATTTACCATCGTAACTGTAGTACCCGTAACCTTAAGCACTACTTGCTACAGGAATTATAACTTGTCATACTGCATGTTAAATGTCACTATAACACTTTATTAAATGGTATATATGAACGAATGTTCAAGAAAACGTTTTTTGCAATAAACCACCATGTTTTTCTTCTACTTACCACATCCTCTAGTTGGACCTGGATCTGCCGATGAACCTCTGCCATCTGGAATAATGTGTCGCCTGAAGCAGTAGGAAATAATGAGAAGACTTTGTGCATAATCAGAAAAACTCATAGCATGAGATATATTTTAAATGTATTATCAAACATACTATCATACACAACCTGATGATGAAATCTAATATTCATCTCACTTACATCGAAGCAGACTCCATTAAGGTCACATTTGCTCATTTTAAGGCTAGATTTTAAAGGGATGGTTCACCCAAAAATAAATTATGTCATTTACTCGCCCTAAAGTTGTTCTTAACCTGCATGAGTTTCTTTGTTCTGTGGAACTTAAAAGAAGATATTTTGAAGTAACAAGACAGTTTCTGGTCCCAAATGACTTTTCTTCAGACTATGTAAGTCAATGGGGTCCAACAATTACGAATGTGTTACCCACATTCTTCAAAATATCTTCTTTTGTGGTCAGCAGAAGAAAGAAACTCATGCAGGTTTAGAACAACTTTAGGGCAAGTAAATAATGTAACAACTTCATGCTATTGGATCAGAATAAACCTTGAACTAAATTTCACTGAATGTCGACACTATTGCCTTCTGTAGAGATGCTTATAGCTGAATAGAGTGCCGAAGGGGTTCCCTCGGTCGAAAAGCAATGCATTTTCCCCATAGACTTTTGGAAAATCGCAAAAAATAAGATCTGTGTTTAACAAAGAGTTGTGATCCTTACACTTTTTGTCTTGCAAGATAATCTTTACAAGTTAATCCAAAATTTATACATTTAGAAGCCTATATAAAGATTTTAAAAAACACAATCAGACACAATAAAGTTTAAAAAACCACAAACAGGTTATAACTGTATGTTCTGTCATAGATCAAAACGTGAAAATATTTAGAGGCTCTGTTCACCACAGACGTTATTTCAGGCGATTTAGCAAAAACCCATTCAAAAATCCCATAGGCTTTAGAGCGAGGGAACCGTAATGCTAAAATGCTAACTCACTTCCACGTTTTGGCCTACAGAGTGACGTCGTAACTTCGGCACTCTATTAAGCTTGTTTCATAATTTGAACTTCATCAAACTAAACTAAACGAACCCTGAACTGCCTCTTGAACTCAATAATGACGCTGGTCATGTGTGTGAAGCGTGTGACATACAGATACGCTGTTAAACTAGTAACCTGACTAAAGGCCAAGAGAGAAGTAAATGAATAGTTGAAATAAAGTCATTATTTATTTATTTATTTATTTTTTGCGCACAAAAAGTGTTCTCGTCACTTGATAAACTTAAGATTGAGCCACTGAAGTCACTCGGACTATTATAACGATGTCTTTAAGGAATTAAAGTTTCAATCCCTCAAGAAGCCTATGGACTAGTATGGAGGAGTGATCCAGCTCTACAGATTTCATCAAAAATATCTTAATTTGTGTTCCGAAGATGAACGAAGGTCTTACGGGGTTGGAACAACACGAGGGTGAGTAACAACTGACAGAATTTTCATTTTTGGGTGAACTAACCCTTTAACATCTACAGAACTGAAAAGGTTCTTCATAGTGGAAAAGCGTTTTTTTTTTTTTTTAGCTTATTAAAGGGTTAGTTCACCCAAAATTAAATTTATGTGATTAATGACTCATCCTCATGTCGTCCTCCGTTCATCTTCAGAACACAGTTTAAGATATTTTAGTTTTAGTCCGAGAGTTTTCTGTCCCTCCATTGAAAATGTATGTACGGTATACTGTCCTTGTCCAGGAAGGAAATAAAGACATCATCAAAGTAGTCCATGTGACATCAGTGGGTTAGTTACAATGTTTTGAAGCATCGAAAATACATTTTGGAACAAAAATAACAAAAACTACTTTATTCAGCATTGAATCTTCGGTTCTTCTGTGAATCCACGTTCAGTGACGCTATATATATTTGTCAGGACAGAACTGAAGAGAACAATTTCTTCCTTTAGAGGATGTGATACTCGTGGCGATGTCTGTCCATTCTTAAGTTTCATTGAAGGTGAAAATGTGTGGCGTGTTTTGTTGTTGGCTCCAGTGGGCCGAGCTGTGGATGTTGGCCTTCTTTATCCCCTACTGAGCAACTGTGTGTGTGAAACTTGGCATCTCTCCTCCGCTGCCTTTCTCCCTCCCTCTCGTCCACCCCCGCTGTGTTCAGCAGCACAATGAGATCATGTGGTGTTGTTAATCTTTCAACAAAAGCCCCTTCTCTCTCTCTTGCCCCTCTCTCGCTTTCTCTTAGTTTCTTCATCTACATTTTATTGTACAGGCTTGCCTCTTCATTTTCTTCTGCTGCAGTCATTTGTTTCCACGCTTTCGTTTCCTGTAAACTCTGATGTACCGTGAACTTAAAACAATGTAGTTATATTTACTGACATATTCACAATCACTGACTTTACATGTTATATTGTAAGAAATTAAAATATAAAAATATATAATAAAAGCTGTATACACATTTTTAGAGAACAACTAAAACTGACAAAAACACAACAAAATTATCAAAACTAACTGAAATTAAAATGAAAACAGAAAATATTCAAATGAAATCTAATTCAAATGATTGATTAAAAAGTATAAAATATTTCAATGATACTAAAATAACAGTGGATCTAAATCCTGGCGACTGGTGTGATTTAGAATCAATTGCTCGATGTATTTTTTAGGAACGTATTAATGATGTAGTGACGCAACTAGTTCACAGAAGAACAGACTTTGTTATTATAAAATTCGATTTAGGTCATATAACATAATAATCCTATAACATAATATAATTCAACACTATTTGTCTTAATAGTAGCTTGTTTCTGATTACAAACTCTGCTCCTGAAGGCCACAGTCTTACAGATTTTAGCTCCAAAACACAGATTTTAGTGATCCTGAAGACTTGGGCTGTGTCCGAAATCACCCTTATATCCTTATTATAAAAGGGCACTATTTGAAGGGACAGCCATTTGTAGTGGTGTCCGAAACCATAGTGGACATTATCTTGTGCACTCATTCATTCCCACAATGCACCAGAGTGGAACTGATGTACTGTACGCTCAATGCTGGCTAGAGAATACCCATAATGCACTGTGATGGCCGTGCCGAATGAAATCCCACGTTTCACCAAAGGATTCTGCAGCTGAATCATCCATCCATCCATATTCCGAACCGCAGGTCCAATGTGGTTAACAAGTATAAATTCCCTTTCCCTTTGAATTGATTATTCAATTGTTTAATTAAAGGAGGAGTTCACTTTTGAAAAAACTTTTGCTGATAATCTACTCACCCCCATGTCATCTAAGATGTCCAAGTCTTTCTTTCTTCAGTCGAAAAGAAATTAATGTTTTTGATGAAAACATTCCAGCATTTTTCTCCATATAATGCACTTCAGTGGGAAAAAAACGGTTCAAGGTCCAAAAGACATTTTCAGTGCAAACTGCAAACTGTTCAAAGGGTTTTAAACGATTCCAGACGATGAATAAGGGTCTTATCAAGCGAAACGATCGCTCATTTAATAAATATTTAACAAAGTTTAAGTTTTATAAGCTCAAATGCTCGCCTTGCTCTGTTCTGTGACGCACATTTGTGACTCCTGTTCGAACTCGTTCATCAAAATGAACGTTTAAAGCCCTTTGAACAGTTTGCAGTTTGAACTGAAAGTTTCTTTTGGACCTTGAACCGTTTGGTTCCCATTGAAGTCCATTATATGGAGAAAAATTTGGTAATGTAATGTTTTAAGTAATGTTTTCATCAAAAACCTTAATTTCTTTTCGACTGAAGAAAGAAAGACATGGACATCTTAGATGACATGAGGGTGAGTAAATTATTAGCAAAAGTTTTTCGAAAAGAGAGCTACTCCTTTAAGGTTTATACATGACATAGAGTTTTTTCATTACTACTAAAGCAGCCAGTTTGCTAAGTTTTAAATGATTATTGAATTATTGATTATTGAATGATTTTTGATCGTTTTCATTCACTCCCTCAAGTGGACTATATTAGGGCAGTAATGTTGGGAAAAGCTATTTTGGACACAGCCCTTGATTCAGGTGTGTTAAAAGCGGTCCTCCAGGAACTGAGTTTGACACCCCTGGACCACAGACTCCACCTTAAAAATTATCCAATCATCACCACCTTAAAAACTCCCTCGTAACCGTCACTAAAAGCTCTCTCTCTGTTACTTATCTTTCTCAAAAGCACATAAAATAACGGTTCAAATTCTAGCATAAACTCTTGCCATCCATCCACAAAACATGCTGTGAGCTGAAATCCACTGCCTAATCTCTTGTCATTATTAAAGGGATAGTTCACTTTGAAATTAATTTTTGATATGTTTTAGCTTACCTCAAGGGCATCCAAGATGTAGGTGTCTTTGTTTCCACAGTATTTTCAATTTTGATATTTTTAGGTTAAACCGCTCTTGTCTGTTGGTCATATAATGGAGGTCTATGGTCACCACCTCAAAGATCATGCACAGAGAAGTCCAAATTAAACATGATTTAATGACTCGTAAATGTAACACATTGATGGTCTAAGACACGAAACGAGCGATTTGTGTGAGAAAACGAACAGTATTTATATCGTTTTTACCACATCCAAGTGATCTGAGGGCACGGGCGCATCGGTCTGCGCAAGCGCCGGAAGAGATCTCTTGCGTGTGTACGTCACTCATTGTTTACACAGAGATTTCAGAAGTGTTACTCTTCACTGTGAAGATCTAAACATATTTAGATATACAGGAAATTGCAATGGAAGGCGATTTCGATATATCAACAGACAACGTTGAATTTTTTTCGCTACCACGCGAGAGATCACTTCCGGGGCAGACCGAAGCGACCCACGCCCTCAGATCACTTGGACGTGGCTGATTTTACAAGAGCTAAAAACGATATAAATACTGTTGGTTTTCTCACAAAAACCGCTCGTTTCGTGTCTTAGGCCATCAATGTGTACTTACATTTACGAGTCATTAAATCATGTTTAATTTGGACTTCTCTGTGCATGCTCTTTGAGGTGGTGACCATAGACCTCCATTATATGACTGACAGACAAGAACGGTTTGACCTAAAAATATCAAAATTGAAACTACTGCGTAGAAACCTACATCTTGGATGCCCAAGAGGTAAGCTAAAACATACCAAAAATTAATTTCAAAGTGAACTATCCATTTAAGTACTTTAATTGTAAATGTACTGTATACTGCTCTTGCATTTACTTACCCAGTTCTTTTGAGCCCTGGCTGTCACTGGCCAGCTCTCCTAGTTTCACCAGAGCGTCAAAGTATCCTTTAGCTGCGACTGTGACGCCTGTGGAGCAGTCAGAGAGAGTCAGGGATTTCAGACAGTGACACTGATTTCCTGTGGACTTCAGCCCAGAAAAAAAAAGTGAACTATTTAAGTGTCTGACCCGTCAGAGCCTTTTCATAGTGTTTCCCCATCGTGACAAAATTCTTCAGACTGGGGTTAAACTGGTCCAGAATGCCCTGAAAATAGAATAAGCAATAACTAAAAATGATATTACTAACACAGAAGGATGCAAGAAACGGATAAATACACATTTTAGCTGCCCTGAAAAAATGGGTTAATGTGTTAATTAATTGATTTTATTCAAAAGAAATGTATTTAACATTACTGAATTAAACTAAATATAATAGATTACACCAAAAAAAATTTAAGGGATCAAATTACAACTAATTTAATTTAACAAACTTTTGTCAATGTTGTGAAGCAATTTTTTTGTTCAAAGCTAGTTAATTTAAAATTTTCATATAAAATACAATTCATACAGGCAAATATGCATTTAGAATGAATGTTTTGTGGCATTTAAAGATAAAAATTGGAAACGTTCCTGTGAAAACGTTATTTCTGAAAGTTCTCAGAACATTCTAAACATCCAGTTATGTAGATGTAATTAAATGTTTTTTCTTGCTTATGTAACATTATATCTATTTTATTATTTTGCAGATATTATGGGAATCCTACTTTTCCATGTTCTCTGAACCATCTGAAAAAAGTAGCAAGTAGTGACGTTTAAAAAACCCTAGACTAATGTCCACCTAAAATGTTTCCAAAAAAAGTGTCCCATGATTGATATATAACTAACATTTATGTGCTTATGTTTTGATAACGTTATTAAAAACTATAAGTGAACGTTTTATTAATGTAACTGGAAGAACATTGGTTCATCATTTTAAGAGAACCACATAAAACATACAACAAACAAAATAATTTCTATAGACATCTCCTTATATCGTCTCGTTTAGTCTTACCTTGTAGACATTTTCTGTCATCTTGTTGACCTCATCTGAGCGTGACATTGTGCTTCTCTCTCCAGCTTCAGTTCACCTTTCTTTTAGACGTAAATCACAGCACAACTGGCTACATGGAGAGAAGGAGAGCAAGAAAGTGAGATGAATCGGGATCATTTAATTTGCTTTTCTATTTGCCTTGAATTTGGGATGATGCGAGCTCATCAAAAGTGAACATCATAATGATTTCAACCACAGTATACACTATTCATCAATAATAAATGGTCACAAATTCAAATGGAAAATTAAGCAATAGTAACTAGAATATTTAGATGTTCTAAAACACTGTAATTATTATTGTGAATTGGGTCGCCTGAGGAATGCTTTCCTCTAGATGTTGGAGCATTGCTGAAGGGATTTGCTTCTATTCAATCACAAGAGCATTAGAAAGGTCAGGCATTGTGCGATTGTGTGTTTAGTCCACGACTCGGTCAAGATCATCCACACCTGTCTTGACAAACCGTTTTGGCATGGATGTGCACGAAAACAGAACAAGTGTCATAATCTTGGAAGATAAAGAATCATCTAAAATATCACAGCATCCTATAGCCTATTGTGTCACCAAAAGACCCGACTCATATAAAAGCTCCGGATATTTAAAGGTGCTATATGTAACTTTTTTTTCTAAAATGAATCCTTTTTTTACTTCCTGTGTTTAAAGGGGTTTTGCTATTACCTCTGAAGGCCAGTTTTCCTATTTCTATGGCTGCATTTACACTGCAGGTCTTGATGCCCAAATTCGATTTTCTGACTATATCCGATTTTTTTTGACAACCCGCTTACATCATCTTTTAAAAGTGACCCGTATCTGATTTTTTCATTTACACTATACACTGCTGAAACTACCAAATGTAGACGTTCTGACCCAGAAAATGAAGTAAAACAGCATGAAATGCAATGGATGCAAATCCAAATAAAATTATCCACTGCGGAGAAAGGCACTGTAGCCACGAGCGCTTAAAACCGTGCCTCCCCATATCTCGAGATATGTCTTCAAAAACGGATTTATTTCTGTAACAGGGCTGCATTTTTGCCTGCACTCTTCGCCCCAAACACTCAAAAGACATGAAACCTCTGCATTGCTCCACTGTGTGCATCCTTCATCCTCCATCGCGCCTATAATCGCACACTATTGACGTACGACTCACATTTACTGGGGAATATCCGATTTGTCTGCTTACATGGCACACGCAAATGCACGTATTCGATTCATATCCGATTTACTAGGGCTGTCGCGGTTATGGAATTTCTCTTGCGGTAATGTTGAATGGCTCAATAGCGCGATATGCGATATTACCGCCATTTATTTATTTATTTAATTTATAAGTATTTGTTGCTATATAAATAAAGTTTACGATGTGGACAAAAACGAGGTCATTTAACCAATAACCGAAACTAAACAGCGTCTATATGCGCATTGAAAGCATGATTGAAAGGCTTTCACTCAGCGCATATTGTTATGACAACGGACTTTGAACCGTTCATTCAACGAACATGTTCAAAGAAACTGATTCGTTAAAAGAAATGTAATGAAACAAGATGTTAATTATTTTTAACTTTAAGTTCCACTTTTCAAGGCTCAGCTGATCAGCAATACGTCGCATGGGTAACGCGGAAGCTGATGCTTCACTTATTAGAGACCAATATGGCATTGATTCAATGCGTGACTCGGTGATTTTATTTCCCCGCGGCTTCCTCGCGCTGTGGGATGCTGACCAGCACTGCTGCTGACGTGCATTTGTGGAAAATACCCGTGACGTGAAGGTTAAAATGATGATACGACAAATATTTCGCTTTCCTTTGACACGGCAACCTTTTCACGACTTCAAAGACAGACGCAGGTAATCGCACGCGCTCTGCAGATCTCTCTCATTCACTGTCTGTGTGAAGCCTCTGTAGGCTACACATCACCAAGATAAACAGTCTTTGTTGTTATTATGAACTTGTTTAACATTCAATACACATGCATGAAGTTCAAAACAAGAAGGGTATAGCCTTATAAAAAAAACGTGAATATCGCGGTTGCTGCGGTTACGTGCAATCCTCTGCGGTTGACTTGTCAGAAGCGCGGTACTGCAATATTGCGGTTATCGCGACAGCCCTACGATTTACTACCACTTATGAGTGAGGCCTGAATCCGATCTGAGAAAATCCTACGCTATCTCACGACCAATTCGTACGAATTCGTATGAGTGATTCAAAAGTGGCTAATTCGTACTAATTCATACGACCTCACTCGTACAAATTCGTACGATTTGTCTAAACCCACGTGATGGTTATGTTTAGGGTCGGGGTCAGGGATAGGTCATTCGTACGAATTCATGCGAATTGGCTAATTCGTAAAATACGTACGATTTAGCAAAAGAATCGATGTCGATTCGTAAAAATGAGAATCGATTAATATCGAGAAATCTATATTTATTACCCAGCCCTATTATATACAGTCTATGCGACGGCACTGCAGCGAACAACATGAGACTGATAACACCAAAACACTCCTGCCTCCAGCACAACACACACTCCAACACAACACACACTCCAACACAAACAAACAAAAAATTATCTGCTAAAGCTCGTCAGGCCAAACGTGAATCGGATCAACTTAGTACGAAAACACGGATCAACATCGGCAGAGCCTTTGAATTATGGAGACCGCCGCTATTTTTATTGTGATAAATTACAAGTTTTCAGATATGCAGAAATAATGGTAAACTGTAATGAAATAGCAAGGTAAACTACAGCATACATGAGACATGAAATGAACACAAAAGAGTGTTCCAGAATAACAGAAAGTCGGTGCTTTAGGATGTAACTGATACACTGAAATTGTTCAGTCTAGTTCACTAACCATTTTCGTTATCATATTATACATTCGCCTATGTTGACATTGCTGATTGTGAAAGATACATGAATAGTTAGTGAAATGCCTTATGCTAGATAACACCACAAATGTAACGTTATCACGGAGCATTAGTTCAACGTCAAGCTGATAAAAGTAGCCAGCGAGCACGCGCAAGAGCACGAGCGCTCTTGTAAAAATTGGTTGCAATCTGAAACATCACCGATAGAGGCCGCTAAAAAATACATATAGCACCTTAAAACCAAACCATCAACAGAAAGGAATTTTTATGCAAGAACATGACTGTCATGATTAAGCAAATGCATTAGGTGTGCATGAGCATAAAATGGGCCATCAAATCTAATTGTATTTATAGCATTTTTCACAATACACATTGTTTCAAAGCATCTTTACAGGAAATCGTTACTTTATTGGATATATCTTAATATCTTCATGCCTTATGGTTGCATTAAACAGATTACCTGTGCAATATTTAGATTATAGTTTACATTTTGAGACGGTAAAAGAAATCACGCAGTTGAGATTTGCTATAGCATGTATCGCTCTACACATGTATCGTAGTACAAAACAAAAGAATGTACTTTATGGACATAAAGTTGGACATACTTTTGTATTCAACTTTATACAAAGAGCTGCACAATAATGTAGTTTAGTTCAGTTGAGATTATATATGGCTTCATGTGAGTATACTTTTTGTTTGCAGGTAAAATAGGATGTCCTTTACACACATCTTTTAATATATGACTTTTTTAAATTGTCACTCACTACATATTAACCCTTTAACTGTCAACTACAGGGACACTTGGTGCTCTTTTTATTGTCTTTGTTTTTTTCCTATCACATATTTTGAGAATCAAGGTTCAATATTTGGCGCCTGTTTTGTGATAGAAGTGATATTGTGAAATATATATTTTCTAGTATCGAATAAAAAATGTTTAGTCCAGTAAAAACAGCAAACTTACAGCAAACTTCTATAACTTTTTTATACTTTATTTTTTTACAATAATTTGCTGAGTGTCTTTTTGAAAGGAAGACCAACCTGAGGTCTGTATTACATCCATTTAAGTTTGGATATTGCGTTTTCACATTTTTGCGTTTACAGTAAAGGGTTAAAAATCAATAATGGCACACATTTTCATTAAAATATTATTTTATGAATCAAATTAATCTGCTAGAAGCTCTAATTTCTGATATACAGAACAATCCCCCAAAAAATTATATGCTGTCTGTAACCTGAAGTAGTCCGGTTTACTTAATTCATGATATTTTTACCTGAATAAAAATATCATGATGCATGTTTTAGGTTATTTGACATTTCATGGAATTCTTAGTATTTTTTATTTTCTGAACTTCAAAATAAAGACCACCTCTGTTAGTGAACCTCAAGAGATTTCATAGTCTGAGTCTGGCCAGAGCCATCCTGATACACTGTTATTGCATGTCTTAAGTTCATGAAATTGAGTCTGACATGCCCTGATAGTGCCCTGGAGGAGAGCGATTCTTCCCCAGTCCAAGTGCAAGAGTCACGCCGCTGAACAAACACTGCGCTTTCCCTTTCTGGAAAGATCCTGAATAAAAGATTCCAGTCAGGATTACCCATCACATAAAGCGTCAGCTCTGAAGGCCAGTGTTTACACCAGGTCAGCGCTCTCATGCGTGTTATTAGAGGAAGATTAGGAGGAAGAATTTGACCTAAATGATCAAGTGAGACAAAAAATAACATTCTCATCATATGACAACTCCATTTCCCGTCTTCTCTTTCTCTGTTTTCTTTGATTCACACTACCTCTGTTTCCATCCGAACGATGTTCCGAATTTAACTTTTGCGCACAATTGGAATATCACATAAAACATTCGCCAATAAAGCACCATTCCCATTCCCATGTTCAAGAGAACAAAGTCACTTCCTGGGAAATTTACGCGAAATATCTAATGTAATAAAAATGGAAGTTTGCTGCAGTCGGGGAAGCCAATGTGTCTCTTTTTACTACATCGAAAATAGCTGGATGGAAACGAAACCAATGAGAGCAGATGATTGACTAATAGTTCAGAGATTCACCCACAATTCACAGCATCCAAGTGTGATTTCAGCAATCCTTTAAGATCAATACAACTCACACTGTACAACATGGATCTTTAACAAGTTTATTAGATCCATGTTGTACAGTGGGATTTGTGTTGATCTTATAGGATTGCTGAAATCACACAGTGATGATTTGATGCCATTTTTCGCAAATGGAGTTTTTTTTAGAAATATAAAATTTTCGAAAATTGAAAAAATAACTTAAGCATAAGTAAATGGAGCATTTTAGGGGGCGATTGCCGACCTTTGCCTAATGGTAAAGTCCGCCCCTCCATGTATGTAGACTGTACGATGATGAGACCTATTGAATCGTAGGCTATGAAGCAAGTTAGTATAGAAAAATAAAACATCATCAGCATTCGCCAGTGGTGAACAAATAGAGCAAGATGAATTGACCTTTGGCAATTGTGGTTTTTATGAGGGCTGAAAAAAGATGTGGAAGTAAAAGAGGAGAATATGGCTAGGGAAAACAGGGCCAACTTCGCATGCCAGTCTTGTAAATGGAGCTTGAGGTAAGAATTTATAAGCACCATGTCACATTGATCAATACACCATTTCATGTTGCATTTTGATTGGCTGGTCAGTAGACGTCGGTCGTAGCAGCAAACACACTGTGAACTGATAATGCTAAATCTCTGACACAAATGATCACAGGCTATCTTTGGGTCGTATTTGAACCTCTCTCACCGTACGACGTACGACAACAGAAATCACCACGATTGGTCATCTTTGGTCTCGGACAGCCCAAAATTGTACAATGTGTACTGGGCATAGGGTGGTACAACAGCTACACTCCAAAAAATGCTGGGTTGTTTCAACCCTATTTTGGGTCAAATATGGACAAACTCAAACATTGGGTTAAAAATGTAATTTAAAAATGTAACCCAATGGCTGGGTTTGTCCATATTTGACCCAAAATTGGGTTAAAACAAACCAGTATTTTTTTAGAGTGTAGTCACTAGGGCAGTTCCCTTAAAGGGACAACTTTGTGCCTTATATTTAACTGAAAGTGCATTAGAGTATTAATATGTACCAATACGCCTTATTCACGGCAGCGCCATCTTTGATTTTTAATGAGAATGAAAGCGAGGCTGTGAGGGATAGACTTGCATCTCTTCAATGGCCTGTATTGTTATTTCATGTGTTTTCGGATTGTTCTGCTCATGAAACACTGGAAAAATATCTTTCAAAGAAATGTCAGTTGACAAAAAACTCCCGACAATGTAAGCTGTGGAAAATTGTAAGTAATCTAGCCGCTTTATTCATCTTTTTACAGCAGATGCCATTGGAAACACGGTAAGTCTATCCCTCACATCACAGCCTCACTTTCATACCTGTCATGGCGCTGCTCTGAATAAGGTCTATAAGGCATTACTATGAACCTTTTAGGGTAAATAAGATACAAACAAAGATGTCACTTTGAGGGTACTGGCCCAGTGACAAACTGTGAAAGAGTAAAGGGCTCATCCCTTATTGTGAAGGGTCAATAAATTTTAGTTTACATTACAGCCATGAACCGTGATTTGCTATTTGAAATTCAGTTAAAAGCAAGTGGTTTTGGGGGGAGGGACATTTTTGCATTTGAATGGACAAAAATGTGTAAGCAGCCATGAGTGCAACATGAGTCATCTGTATTTCTATCCATTTTCCTTTAAGAGACTGTACATTTTTAGTGAATTCATGCTCAAAGTTAATTTTCTCAGTGTTTAGGAGAACAATACCAGATAACTTCAACTAACACACATAGATTTCGGAAAATGAATCTTTAGGACTAACACCACAAAAACTGACCGTATTTCTACTTAAACTTTATATTCTTCCCTGAAGATATAATTGTGTCACTGCATATTTCGGTATAGTGCCACATTCCATAATATCATATAGCAAGCAATATATTTTTTTAATGTAGCCTACATAAAAATTGTTGTTTGTTATGTTTTCACATATTTCATATAGGGTACTTCTCTCATTGTTGACACCTGTTCCCTTATAGAACTGTTGATTAAAGTGACGTAATTGAGATATTATATTGAGATAGGCCTAAATATGAGGTAAAAATATTCTGCTCATTTAACACACAATTTAACACAGTGATGTAAGAAAAACATATGAGCTGATATGAAATTTGACATTTTAGTAGAGCTTTGCTGCTTCCAATGCAATAATTCACAGGGCTGAAAAAAATGATTTAAAGTTAAAAAAAACAATGCAATTTTATCAGCTCGTTGCCATTAACAATGCTAATCACGTTGACTAAACATTCGCACTTTTAATATTTGTTCAAATGCCACTTGTTGCACTGTGAGTCATTCAGCAGCTTGTTTAATTATTTGAAAGAACTACTGTAGTGTGTTACTGGCTATTCAGAGCTTGTGTATAATATAATTTTCTTACCTTTTCAGTGTTCATCGTTTCCTCACCGCTTTGTCTGGTGTTTTTTTTTTTTTTTTTTTTTCTTGGTCGCAGCACTTTTCCTTCTGACTTTCCCTTCGGTGGTGGGGGTAGTTTAGTATAAGTTTGACCCAGTAAATCCCTCTTTCACCCCTCACCCCGTCTCTCCCAAACTCCTCACTGAATCCAGGTCAGAACACATTCAGTGCTCGTTGTTCTTCAGATGCGCTCATGCTAACATCAAACTTTAATCTTCATTCCGCCTAAAATGTCCATTAGCTGTCGGTATGTAGATCTCGAGCGGCTCGTTCGTCGCTGTCTCTGTCCCGGACAATGTCTGTCTTCTTACTCTCTGTCTGTCTCTCTCACTGGGACTGAATGTCAATGAGGTAACGGGACAGAGCTGTGAATAGAGCCTCCGCTCATCACAGTACCAACACACACACACACACACACACACACACACACACACACACACGCAAATCCCACTCTCATTCATAACCCGTGCTGTGTCCACGTACACTTTAATGCCATGAGTAAAATATTAAAAGTGGAATATGTGGTTAATATTAGGCCTATGGCAGAAGAAAGTTTCAAAGAAACCTCATAATTCTTATAGGCTAAATGCAATTAGCATTTAGCCAATTTATCAACAGAATTTTGGTTTAACAAGCGTTGCTAAGCCAGTAAGCCAATTAAATGGTCTGAAATCGCCTATTTTGACTATTTGTTCAGCTTAAGGCAATATCTATACTCAGACAACAGGTCATTCTGAGGAAACATGACAAGTTGCATGGAAATCATAGGGAACGCTATCTAAAAATTGCTATCTATTCCCCAGATGGCAACATAGTGTTGGCCCAGATCCGGACCACATCTGGTATGTGTGGACTCCACATGTAGGCTACCAGACGTGGCCCGGATCTGGGCCGACGCTATTGCTGTCTGGGGAATAACTTGTGACCAATTTTTAGATATAGAGTTCCCATGATTTCCATGCAACTTGTCATGTTTCCTCAGAATGACCTGTTGTCTGAGTATGTATATTGCCTTAAGCTGAACAAATAGTCAAAATAGGCGATGTCAGACCATTTAATTGTCTTATTGGCTTAGCAACGCTTTCTTAAACCAAAATTCAGCTGCTAATAGATTGTGAATGACTTATTGTTATGCATAGGGTATTACAGTATTTCTGAATTGCTAAAACACTAAATCCCATTCTCTGAACCAAATTCTCAATAGCCTAAACCAATTTGTCAAATAAACTACTGTTTCTGTAAAGCCTTAAACAAGCTTAGACAGTTAGACACATTCACACTCACTAAAACGCATTTCGCACTGTGATGCACTTGTTTCAAAACACTAAACACAGGCTGGCTAAAGTTAAACACAACTACAAAACAGTTGTCATCATTTACAACGATTGAAAATTGTTCTCACTTATTTCTAATGTTGAGATCAAACCAGCTGCATGTACAACATAACTTGGTCAGCTCAGAGGACACTGCTACCGACTTTTGTCTTTGGTAAGGACAAAGTATGTTTGGTTGCATTTATTCATAGGGTGAAGAGCTGGTAGAAGCTTGATGTTCATACATCCACCAGTTTGAATCTCGATCCAAATTTATAGTAACATTTTGTTTACAATTCGCGTGCTGTACTTGATTTTCTATATGTAGCTAACCTAATCCTTTTTCTTATTTTTAGAATCGATTTCTTCCCTAAAAATGGAGAATATTGGACAACAAGAGTACAGCGACGAAGAAATTGATGACCTTTATTGGTACCATTTCAATGATTCCCGAGAAGAGAATACTAAAAATTTGCTGGATGCTATGTATTCGCATAATTTCGTCAATGACTTCCTGTTGGACGAAGACCTGCACATTCCACTCTTCCCAAGCACGGTTCTAGAAGCAAAACGTGCCCTACGATATGCATATGACTTTGATGGCCTTGTCATGCATGACCTGTCTGCAATCAAAATTCAACTCAACTACCTGTTTGGTACTGTAACGGTCACCAGGTGGAGTGCTCTTGAGAGTCACCAGAGGGCACTCCACACCAGATGTTCATGTTTCACTCACAACTACATTTCGCAGCACTCACTGCCCGGACTCATCAGCACTCATCTCATTCACCTGTTTCTCATTATCTTGTTTAGTTCACACCATAAATACCTTGTGTTCACATTCACTGTTTGCGAAGTCTTGTTGTACTGTGTGTCTGCATTTCTGAGCGTGTTCCCGTGTTTATTTTTCTGTTTTTTTTTTATTTTGGATTGTTCTTGGATTCTGATTATTGCTGCCTGCCCTGACCTCTGCCTGTTCCTTTGATTCCCACTGTGTGTTCTCCTTTGTCCTGTCTGCTGATTCTCGACCCTGCCTGTACGACTACTCTTAGGCCCCGTCCACACTACTGCGTTTTTGTTTAAAAACGGAGAATTAAATCGAATACGATCTCCGTCCACACCAGCATTTTATCTGCGTATTAGAAACGATCTCCGTCCACATTAAAACGACTGAAAACACGGATCACCTGACCCTCCACCAACACTGGGCATGCGCGTGCCGGTGTAAACAGTGAATGACGAATCAGGGAAGGATACGTCATGACTGATAACACCCAATCATAGAGTCAGCTCTCCGTCAGCGTTTCTAAATTCCTCCCTTTCGTCTCGTCCACACTAAAACGCCCTCCGGAGATTCAAAACGCAAAACGCAGCTGCAGCGTTTCTAAACCTCTCCGTTTTAGGTCTTCATTTTTCCCGTTTTAGTGTGGACGGGAGGTGCAAACGTAGCAAAAGGTCTCCGCTTTTAAACGAAAACGCAGTACGGGGCCTTAAATAAAGCTGCATTTGGATCTTCATCTACAAGCAGTTCATAACAGGTACCAAACCTTCAGAACCACTGGCATATTTTAAAGAAACATCTCAAACTCGATACATACAGAGGTGCTGGTTTCTCCGCTCTCCAGAAAACATCTGGTACTGTCCTGGCCTTCGTCGGCGGAGGACATTTCCTAAATCTGAGCGTATTATCCGCTCATCACACCCACCCTGGAATAAGTTTTCAACTCAGAAAATACCGCCCGTGCAAACGCCGTTGTGGTCATCAACACAATTTTCAATGTGTTCTCGGAGAAGATCAAAAATCTGCCATCGGAGCAGAAGCAAAGGGAGACGATCATGAAGAATAACAGTTTCAACCTGGGATGAATGCACATCCTAAAGGAGGACCAACCCTTTGTACTCAACCTATTCATGGAGGCAATGAAAGAAGTGGACACAATCTGGACCAATCGCTTGTTCTCACTTTGACCAAATTTGGCCAGAAGGACAAAGAGCCCATCAAACTGTCCTGGCAGAGATGATTGACCTGACAGCGATTGAAAGTATATCTTTCCACGCAGCCTGCACCATCCGTCCGGCAGACGTCAGGATGGAATTGTTGTGGTCAAGGCATGGACTCCAACAGGTGGTTGGACACAGGGGGTCCTTGTTCACCACTTATGGGATGGCTGAGGCAGCGAATCTGGTCTTCAGTGGCATGGAAACCTTCGCTGAATTGAACTTTGTTCAACTCTATTCGACAACACCACACTGCCATGTTGCTAAGGTCGCCAAACATCCTGTCAGTCGGATCATCACCACCTGCGGACTTCACAAACAACAACACACCCAATCCCTGCTCAAGCAGGCAAAGGATTATGTGGACTCCATGCGTGACCTTTCTGGAAAAACTAATTGCCGCATGTATGCACGAATGGAGGGAGTCTTTTTGCTGAGGGAGAACTTTCCAGAGAGTTTGAAACCACGTCATTTTTATGACGAACGTAACATCCAAAACCTTATCGAAGACTACCCGATGTTCCTTATCTTCAAAGACAACCAGAAGAAATTGGGACTGCGGCATGTAATCAACCCGGTCGCAGATTTACTCACACAAAGCCTGTACAACCTCTTGGCGGAGTGCAAAGGTCATACCAACAGTTGGACTGCCTTCCAGTCGACCTAGCTCTGGAAGAGCTTTTCTTTGGGAAACCAAACTGCAGAAGTTCAGTGCAGTTCTCCGTAAGTTTGGGAACAAATAGCACTAACCCAAACAGCGTCACCAGAAGAAGAGGCTTTCTGGGATTGTCTCCACCAGGGAGTGCAAGTGTGGGAGAATATCCACCACCACTCACCACTTGGTTTAATGACCAGCTTCAAATAATGAGAGTGATGAGGATATTCCCTCTCACCGATTCCCTGAAGTCCCCCCCCCCGCCCCACAAAAAAAAAACACACAAGTCCCACCTCCAAAAAACACAAGCACCCCTCCCCCCCCCCCAGGGGGTGAGAAGGGGTGACAATACCATATCTCAGCCCCTGGTTGCGCTAGAGATCCCAAACCACTTGCAATCAACTCCCCGCCCCCCTAATTAGTGTAGGGGTGGAGTTTCAGCTGTATAGAATCAATAATAAGGGGGGGTGACAGGGGGTGACAATACCATATCTCGGCCCCTGGTGGCGCTAGAGATCCCAAACCACTTGCAATCGACTCCCCGCCTCCTAATTAGAATACGGGCGGTAACCCTAACCCAACTGATGAAACAATCTGAGAAGAAGAGGAGGAAGAGTACGTGTAAGAGGTGGTAGATGAGGAGGAAGTGGATGAAGAAGAGAAAGAGCAAGGCGTGGACAGTGTTGTCAAAGCTGGAGGGTTTTTTCATTGCCTGTGATGTGGACGGAGTCCTCTGGACCGAAGACGGTACGCTGAGGCAGAGTGAATCTATTGTTGACCCTGATTTTGCAGTCACACAATTTTTTTTGAGTGTATAGTAACACGCTTTTCATGTAGAGTTTTTTTTTTTGTTTTGTTTGTTGGGTTAATGTATTTTTTTACAGGATGTAAGTGTTGAATATACAGACATTCAATACTATATTCAGTGCAATACTTGCAGTATATACAGTTAATTCATCTTACTACCGTAAGTTGATGCTGTGTTCTCTATTTTTCGATGTGTTTCATGAATGATCTGTAGTGTTTATTAAATTTGACTCATGTGTGTCTGATCTGAAAACATTGTTTGATTTTAAGGACAGATAATCATCCATCCATCCGTATATATCAGTGTGAATGACAGAAAGCTGTGTACTTGTCCACTAGAGGGC